TTCTCCTATTCTTAATGTCACGAGCCGCCACTGGTATACAGAGGCAAATATACGTTTTGAAAATAGGAGAAACCTCGAAATTAGCTCTGGTGATTGACCATAAACACGGTCTGAGTTGTTCGAAATGTACCTACGTAGGTGTAAGTAAAATTTTCTCGCAGTACTCCCCGAGGTGCAATAAGATGCGGGGTTCTGAGTTTTTAACTGCCTCTTAGGGGCAGGTTTTGTAAGGAAAGCGCTGCTTTGGTGGTCGGAGACCCTGTTTTTTCGTAATAATGTCGGAGATAATCCTTCACGTCCACGTCGACAGCGGTTATCTTGTAATTATTTCTCTTTTCCGTTGAAAGTTGCCTGAAATGTTTTCTCTCCGGGGATCCCAGCTTTCCAGAGAGAGGCAGATTAAGAGGTACATTCAAAAAGTCATGTTATATTGTCCCGAGCGAATTTTCACCTATATTCTCAAAATAGTTCAATAAACCTTCAAAAAATCATTCGAGGGGCATAAATCCTGCCAACAGTGTGAGACCATGGACAAGAAAGCGCAGATTGCCTATAAAGCACATTCGAAGGCGCAGAGAGAGATAACAAAATTTCACCCATGTTTTGAAATTTTCCCTAAGTTCCCCTACGAAGCTTCTATTACCGCCAAACACTATCAACCGTAGTAGACGATGCTAACCGATCGCTCAGCCCTCAGCCCCTGCTGTTTTGGCTGCAACAGTTTTGAATTATCAGAAAGGCGGCAGAAAGTTGCATTTTCATGCCTATATGTCATAATTTCGTCAGTTTCGCTCGCAAGTGACGTCACAAGTCAAATTCAGTGTAAACTAAGTTAAACTTTTAATTATACCTTAAATTGGAAAGAAAGTTTTTTATCATGGACGATTTTGGCGATCCGCAATTAAAAAATACTGGCAACACTGGCCTAGACTCCGCAGATTACGTTCTTGGAAGCTCCCGCTCGTATATTGACAGTAGAGATGGGCAATACGGATCTTTTTAATGATCCGCATGATGCGAAATGTATCAACATAAAGATCCGCATCAAAAGATCCGCATCAGGGAATCGTATTCAGTGCGGATGTACAAGTACAATATGTACTTCCTCACTCATTCCCGTTTCATATATTGTATCCCGTATCACACTCTCTGTCGCGTATATTTTCTAATTAAATTCCAATATAAGAAAGAACTATCGCATTACTTTTTTAAATTCTCTTTTTACACAGTACAGCAGCAGTCAAAGCACAAATTGCTTTTGTGTTTTATTTATTAATTTATAAATTAATTTAAGGCGAGGTAATTACCTGTCAATATACCTGGGCTAGATTTGCAAATTTTTTGCAAACATCTATAAATTCATTTCTTAGTAGAACCATGAATATCAGCAGAAACGAAGCAGTAATATATTTGAACTCAAGTTGAGAAAGCATTAAATTATTTTCAAGTGAAATTAATTAATGTTTAAATTTATTTTCGGTCAAAGGATTGAAAATTTAAATACTAAAATACACATTACCCTGACAATACGAAACACACATCACTCTGACAATTACTTTTTACATTATAAATTTGTTTCAGACTCCACAATTCCATATAAATCATTTCAATATTTAGTTTCCTATGCACTAAACTGTTTCTAATGCATTGTATCTCATCGACCTGTATCGGACACGAGAATCAGATGAGACCGATTCATTCCCAATTCGCATTGATGCCGTGATGCGAACATACGAAATTATTCTTATACCGGTATACGTATGAACTGATTCCCAGTATGCGTGCGCCTCCCACTTTCTCATTCCTGTATCGGATACGAGAATCAGTTGATACCGATTCACTTCACTTCAGTCTCAACTCACATTGATGCGGTGATGCGAAACATACGAAATTATATTTGCATCGGGATCCGCATGAATCGATTCCCACTAGAGATCCGTATGATTTATACGTATGATGCGGATCTTGCCCACCACTAATTGACAGGGCAACAGCAACAATGGCTAACAGTAACAAACAATCAATCCAGTCCTTTCGACTTTCATGCGGAACTGTGTAACCGTAGATGCTTAACTCGCCTCATTATTAACGTTAAAACAAACCAGCTTTATCAATAGATTCTAGGCTCTCTCTAACAGTCCGCTGTCACTTATCATAAATCGACATCGTTTGCTTTATTACCAGCCCAGTTTTTTTTCGGATGCCATGCACTAGTTGTTCCAGCGGCAGGAATTGATTTACCGTCTTGTCAGTGTCCCGACCAATTTTTTTCGGAGGTCGACCCGAAAAAAAATGTGTTCGGCTCGATGTTCTGTAATTATTTTGAAGCGTTTAAAGTATCTTGATCTCTAACGTGGAACTGGTAGGTAGGCAGGCCTCTAATTATTGCAATTGCGAAACGCTTGTCGAAAATAGAACAAAACATAAGTTGAAAATCTTCAAATATAATAAAGTAGCGAAATAAGTGTTATATGGTTTTCTCTCTCTTTCTCTCTCTCTGTTTACTCCGAATTACCCCTTCAGATGGCGTACTTCGAGGAAGTTTGAGCATTAGAACTACCTACTTTTCTAGCTACTGTCTAAACAAATACAAAGTAGATGATTACGATCACAGCAAAATATAAATTGGTAAGGACATATACTTTTTGTAAATAGATTTTAAGTTGTAACAAAGTAGGTAATTATTAAATTAAATTTATTAATTTCACGTATTTTATATAGAATTTCGCTTAATACACAACCTTGATTGTTAAAAATATGAGCTTTAACTGTATTCACTGATTATATTCCAGTATTTTGAGAGGTAAAAGTCATGCACCCATATTTTTGTATTCCTTGTTTAGTAAAACACGACTTTTGAACCGTACCTAAGCGAAAATACGGCGTGTGTACAGGCACACATCTCTAATATTTGCACGTAGACTATAAAAGTACGTGCCCGTTTTTCTCTGCAGTGTAAATACAGCACGTAGAAATACGACGAGTCACATTTTCGAATGTACAGTTGGCTGAATTGCCTCATTGTTTTTAAGAAGATAGGTAGTCTTGAAGAGCGGGCGTACCTCGCATTTTAAGTACCTGGTATTAATAATAACAATAACATGGGAAATTCTCCTAGATAGGTACTCTTTTCTATGTTAAGGACCTAAAGGTATGCGCATGTGAATTCGATGTTATATCACTATTATACGATAACGTAGTGTTCTTTTTTCTAATAATTCTAATGGAAAATGCAAATTTCACTTCCTGGTTGCTGTGGAAGTTTCTTAAATGTTCATTAAAACTTAATTCATCATCGACCCTTGACATGAAGACAAAAACAGGTCATTAAACAAATATGTACAATGAGGGAACCTGAATAAAATTTGGCGACCACCCCTAGCTCATTATTTGGAGACGGTTATTTGTTGCAAGAAAAATAGCAAGTAACAGGAATTTGTTGTGTGCAAATTCCGAGAGAAACATTTGTGGAAAATCTCTAGGTAGGTACATTATCGTTAAATGTCGCCATATTTCTTTGTGTATTAAAAAATTGTTCATGTATAAGCATTTTAAATCGCTTTGAACGCTTTAATTATACTGTGTAACGCATGTATAACGAAAAAAACGTTCGTGACCGAGAGATTAGCGTTGTAAATACTTTTAATATTACAATTAATTAATTCTTCTGAATAATTACAATAAGTCGCCGGGAAAGATAGTTGTACTCAATTAAACTAATTCGTATTATTATACGAATTAAACATGTAAGTAATTTGAATATTATCTATAACAAACCAAATGAGGAAGGATAATTTTTTATTTATGGTAATTTCATGACACATTTTAGACAGCTGTAAAAAATATAAATGTAAATAATCGCTTCGTAGATCTGAGTGATATTTTATGCCATTAAATCCAGAATTTGCAATCTGAAACGTGTTGTGTTTAAACAAAAATAAGATGGGTATCATACATCACGCCATTATTTAAAAAATAATTTTTGCGCACAATTTGTAAATAAATCAATTATTATTAAACGCACCGAAATTAAATTACTATTCCATTAAATCTGTAATTAAATTTATAATGCAGTTAATCATAAAATTAGTTACCTAATAGATTATCAGACTTCTCGCCTAAACCAATATACAGTAATTAATTAAATGTGGCTAAAATATCAATATTGAGGTGTAGTTGAAGTATAAAATATTAATAATAAATGTATGTAGATTGTAGTCGATATCACATTTCAGTTAAATATCCACCTTGCACGCGCGTTAAATCAACATTAAACAGTGAATTTAACATATTTTTAGTTAATTTAATATATTGATTTGTCCTCAACACGATAAGGTGCAAGATATTACCGCATAAAAGAGCAAATTCACCCGTTGTCGATTTTGATCTTTTTCAACCACTTTCTGTGACCTTGGATAGAGAAAAGCGACTATATCAGCACCGTTATAAGATTTTTTTCTATTAAAATAGATAATAGAAATTACAGTTTTATTATTAATACTTCGTTTTCAGTAAGGGAGAGTTCTAGAATCGTTTTAGGGTAACATGTTGATTATATATGCGTCTGCGTTTACTTATGTTAAATAATGTTATTAAATTAGTATTGTAAGAATTATGTGCACTTAAGAACTGTACACCGGCTCATTCATCATTTTCTCCCATTCTGAATATTATCGAACACGTTTTTTATGCTGTACAATATTTAAATCCGCCTCTGTTTATTACAGCAGCTACAGAGCAATGGAAAGAGCGCAACGTGCTATGCGCATCTTACGATTTCGATTCATTTGAGTGAACTGGTTTTTGTATAAGCTGTGATATGCATATAAAAATGTCAATTTATATCACTGACAGACAGGCAACCAGATATACTATTAAAGATTTATTTGCTTGCCTATTCTTCATCAAACGAAGGAAAGTCGTCTACTTCTTCTAAAATCGCTTAAGGGCACATTGGTACCCTGTGACTTTGCAATCACTAAATTGCAAGAAACGAAGAAGCAAAAAGTAGTGTCAAGAGTCAAGTCATTTTATAAATTAGAAATATCAGCTCAAAAAAGTCGTAATTTGATACGTGAAACGGGGTTGGAATTTGATCTAAAGTTTAAATAGTAAAATTCATGTAAAAAACGTGGTGGCGTGACATTTGACTTTTTAGTTAATTATAATATGTAAATTGTAGGTGCTCACCTGACTAGACTCATAATAAATCAAAGTTTTGAATTTGAATAACACTTTTTGCCGAGTAGATTACCAAAAAAATGAGTGCCGACAAGAAAGACGTTCCCAAAACAGAAAAGGTGGATGAAGAGCTATCGGATTTATTAGACAGTAAAATTAATTACATAACATGCCTTGCCTTTACTAATGTTTGTCCATTAAGGTGCTTTGGAGGACTTTAAGAAGAGCGATGAAACCAAAAAAGACGAAACCAAAGCAGAGAGCACGTCAAAAGAAGTAGGTACGTCCAGCAACGGTCAGTTAGAAGCCGAGGAATGGTCAGCTGACTTAATTCAGAGGACCGCTGCCCAGTTCGAAGAAAACTTCGCAACGCTACTCGCTGGCAGCGATGCAAATGCTCAACTGAACCCAGAGTTCGTTCAGCAAAAGCTGCAACAAATGGCAGGTAAAAACTATTGTTTTAATTACGAATGTGCATGTACGAATTTTTAATAATCGTTTAGATGCCGCCCAACAAGTTCTCGAAAATCCGTCCCAAGTGTCGGACGCTTCGTCAGACTTCGCTTCTTCTATTTCTCAAGCAATACAAGGCCTTAACGCCGGAGCGGAAGGTCTACAAGCCCCCATGAACGAAGAAGACTTGATGAAAATCTTCGGACCCGGCGGTAATTTCGGTTCAGAAAACGAACTGCTGCCGTTTATGCAAGGTGCGTTTCTTGTGAAAATATCAATATAATTTTCCAGTTAACCCTTTTTTTAAGGTATGATGCAAGGGTTGTTATCGAAAGAGGTCCTAGGACCTAGTTTGCAAGATTTCGTCGAAAAATTACCGGATTATATCCAGAAAAACAGGGCCACATTGGCGAAGGAGGACATAGAACGGTACGAGAACCAAAAGAAGCTCATGGAGGAGGTGTTGGAGGAATTGAATAAGGAGAAGAACACTGACACTGCCGAGGTGAAGAAAGAGAGGTTTTCCAAGGTTCTAGCGCTAATGCAAAAGGTAGAATTGATCGATAAGTTTATTATTTATGGTTAAGTCTCTTTTTTTAGCTCCAGGATTACGGACAGCCGCCAAGCGAGTTGGTCGGGGATGTGGATGCTCCGTTTAATTTCGATCCACAAGGAAACCCTGTAGGGCTTCCGACCAATCCCGAGGCCAACCCTGACTGTAGCATTATGTAAAAAAGTGACAATTTAGTGATTTGGCAAGGCTCAAATTTTAAATATGTAAGGCATATATATATTTCCCTACTTATCGGAAACTACACGAGCATTGGTTATACGAGAAGGACGAAAGGAAGGAATTTCTATATCCATTGCATTCGATGCATTTTTTTTGTTTCGGTTTCTCTAAAGTTGTGTTGTTTATTTGTTATTTTGTTATGGTACTCATATATTTATTCTTATTCCTCCAGATTGTTGTAGACTTGTAAATTTGTTTTAATAATAAAGCCATATTGGCGCAGTTCATGAATATTGCATTTAGCGTGTACGTTTATTTCGAAATAATCGCTACGAGACTTAAACAAATGTTATGGTTACAATTGGATGAACACTTTTCTTGTACCGTCCCTGGATGTGTATGTAAAAAAGGAAAAGTTCGAGAAAAAATTCCACGGGTGCTAAATCTTGACCGTTAGGTGGCCAATATCAATTTTGAAAAGTGACGACGTTTACTTACAAACTGACCGACAGGTCAAATTTAACATTTATTAGAAGTTTTCACATTTGCAGTAACGAAAAGTTAAACAGACTCAGGGCTGGCGCCAGGGTATTTGGCACCTGAAGCGAATATTTGCTTGCCGCCCATTGGAACAACAAATTTATTAATAAAAAGTTATAAAAATTAAAAAAAAAACATTTCAATAGACAATAAATCAAAAAATATTTTAGCAAAAAAACAAACGGAAATTATAAGAAACATCTTATAAAAAATAAAAGTCTTCAATAATATCAGCTTAAACCAAATTATTTGTTATATCTTTCTCGATAGCAATATTGGCCAAGTCTGTTAACCGTTCCGGTGTCGCGGTTGATCGTAAATAATTTTTTATAATAGAGACTACGATGTTAGGGAAATTTTCGCTCAACTCGATTTCTAAATAATTAATAAAAGGACTAAGCTCGTATTCGGGGTCAAAAAATTTCTTTTTCAGGTTCTGGTGCAATTTTCAATTTCTGAAATTTATAAAAAGTTAATAATCAAGTCTTAAAATGCCGCCCTTAAGAAAATGCCCCCTGAAACATCTGCTTCGCTGTTTCACCTCTTCCGCCGGCCCTGAACAGACTATATGCTAGATGTCTAATTTTTGCCAATAATCGCTTTTTTCGCTACATGTTACATATGGTAGTTTCCATATAGATTCAACGAGCAAAAAAAATTAACCTCTTCGATTTAGTTGAAACTTTGGAATGTGTGAACTTTGAATTTTATGAGACCGGAGATTTTTTATTTTTCCGAAAGAAATTTTTGGAGCTCTGTGGTGTCATGTCAAAATGTACGTTGTGACAGCGTTATTCCGAAAATGAAAATGCATATTTTTTTCAAGTGGCCATCATTTTCACCCAAACCATCCTATCGAAATGTTTTTTTTCCAATATGTGCATAATTTTATCAGTTTTTACCTGTTTTAATCAGAATTCAAATTGCTTTAAAACTTTGCGAGATAAATGAGAAAACGGAAGTCATATTTTTCAAAATTGATTTTCTTAAACCCCACCTTTTAATTTCTTCATATTTGGATATGTTTTTCAAGACCAAATAAGCTATCTTTTAGCCAAGCAGCAATATGCCAACTTGCTCTGTTTGGGAGAAGTGGTTTCGAAAATGCATATTTTTTTCAAGTGTTTTAAAGTTTCATTTTGACCCAAATCATCCTATCGAAACATTTTTTCCCAAAATATGCACAATTTTATTTGCTTTTACCTGTTTTTTTCATAATTCAAATTGCTTTAAAACTTTGTGATACCTAAATGAGGAAAACGGAAGTCAGATGAGATACCTTAAAATACAAAAAAGTTATGTCATTTTCAACACATTCAATCTACGGCAGCTGGCGCCGTCTATGAACTATAACCAAAACGTGAACAAATTTCAATTCCTCTACCCAAAGAACCCCAAACCCCTAAATTTTGTGTAGATATTTGCATTTATTAATAAATAAATGGAAATAAATTAAAATAATATTTTACATTTAACACCCTGTATCTATTTAACTATCAACTTTTGGACTAAGGTAGATTCGGCTAAATTGCAATATTTTTGCTTCGGGAATCTACTCATGAATTTTGGCTCATTTTGGGGCCACCCTGTATACCAAATTGTTCCGTTTGGGAGATATGGTTTCGCAAAGGCTATATTTTTGCAGTTTCTTCAGTTTAGTCTAGTATTAATACTTTTTTCCGTTTTTTGAAGCAATTTGAATACCGAGAAAAAAAACAGGTAAAAGTTGATAAAATTCTGCACATTTTGAAAAAAAAAAAAAACGTTTCGATAGGATGATTTGGGCCAAAATGAAACTTGAAAAAATATGCATTTTCGAAACTGCATCTCCCGAACAGAGCAAGTTGGTATATTTCCGCCCGGCTAAAAGATAGCTTATTTGACCTTGAAAAACATATCCAAAATTTGTGAAAATAAAAAGCGTTTTTAAAAAAATCAATTTAAAAAAAGTGATTTTTTCCGTTTTTCTCATTTATCTCAGAAAGTTTAAAGCACAATTTGAATTCTGAAAGAAACAGGCAAAAGTGTGATAAAATTACATTTCTGCACATTTTGAAGAAAAAACGTTTCGATAAGATGATTTGGGTCAAAATGACCGCCACTTAGAAAAAATATGCATTTTCGAAACCGTATCTCCTGAACGGAGCAAGTAACATATCCAAATTTGGTGAAAAAAAAACAGGTAAAAGTGTGATAAAATTCTGCACATTTTGAAAAAAAACGTTTCGATAAGATGATTTGGGTCAAAATGACGGCCACTTAGAAAAAATATGCATTTTCGAAACCGTATCTCCCGAACGGAGCAAGTAACATATCCAAATTTGGTGAAAAAAAAAGATGCGGTTTTTGAGAAAATCAATTATGAAAAAAAATAACTCCGTTTTTTCATTTATCAGAAAATTTTAAAGCAATTTGAATTCTGAAAAAAACAGTTAACAGTTGATGAAATTCTGCAAATTTTGAAAAAAAATGCTTAAATAGGATAATTTGGGTCAATATGATTGCCACTTGAAAAAAATTTGCATTTTCATTTCCGGAATAACGCTGTAAACTTTGACAGCACCACAGAGCTACAAAATTTTTTTTCAGAAAATCAAAAAGTGGGTTTCATACTTCAAAGTAGATTAACATCCCAGTTTCAAAAAAATCGAATTGATTTTTTTTTTTCATAAATCCGTAAATCAAAACATCGAACTGAAGATTTAAGGAATCCAAATCATCAAATTGACAAAATTAAAGGAACAAAGCTAAAAAGTAAAGTTTCCCATTCGAAATAAAAATCGGGAATTCAAAAATAATAAACTGTTTTGTAAAAAGAATTAACAGGTGTCAACTTGGTGGGTGCCTGTGTATTTTTATACAAAAAATGTCGAGGGAAAAATTCTATAGGCATTAAATCAAGACCGTTAGGTGGCCAGTATCATTTTTAACAAACTAACAAATTGATGGATTGCTCAAACTTAACGTTTATTATAAGTTCCTCACATTTACAGTAATAAAAAAATTGAACAGATTATATACCAGATGTTTAAAGAAATGGGAATTATATTAAAAAAATAACATAATGAGAATAATACATAATACTTTTTATAAAGTTCTCTAAACAAATCATTATTTATTAATATTTAACAATAATTTTGATAAAATATGTACCGATACATAAATTGATATATTTTTTCCATAACCTGCAAAATTAAAATTATAATTTTATCCATCGCCATTTTTTACTTATAACCGTCCTTTTACCACAAGTTATATATATATATATATTTATAAAAAAAAATAAATCCACAAATTGAAATATCGATGTCAAGTTTCAAAAAAACCGGAAAACAGTTTTAAATCCAAACCAACAAATCCACAAATTAAATAAACAAAACCAAAGAGTAGCATTTTCCGTTCCAAAAAAAAGTTATGAATTCCGAATAATCAGCACCTTCACCGAACAAACGTAAAAATCAATATGGACTAAATCAAGGCCGTTAGGTGGCCAATATCATTTAAAAAAATGACATTTATTAACAAATTTTTGGATTGCTCAAACTTAATGTTTATTATGTTCCTCACATTTACAGTCATAAAAAAATTTAACAGATTATATACCAGATGTTTAAAGAAACAGGAATTAAAAAAAAAATGATATAATGAAAATAATATAATAACTATATAAAACTCTTGAACTGTCATTTATTAATATTTAACAATAATTTTGATAAAATACATAATGATACATAAAATGGTCTCATTTTTTCAAAAATAGAAAAAAATAAACTGATTGTAAAATCATAATTTTTGCCTTTCATAATTTTTTGCTTATAATCGTTACATATACAATGTGAACTATTTCAAATGAAAACATAATCTAGCGGTGTGGTCATAAATAAATAAATCGTTAGTTTCTGTCAAATTTGACACCGAAAAAAATTAAAAGTGAGCTTTGATATCTGAAAACAAATTCGAATCATTTGTAAAAAAATAAATTTTTCACGTGTGAAATAGATCACACTGTATATAAAAAATACGGCAACAAATCAAAATATCCAACTGAAGACAAGAAGACTCGAAAATGGTAAAATTCAAACCATCGAACAGACAAAATGAAAGTAATAAAACCGAGGAATAACGTTTTCTGTTCCAACTCCAAAAAAATCAAGGATTCAACAATTATCGCGTTCAACAAACGTTCAACTGTTTGTTGTAAAACGGATTAACGGGCGTGGAACTGGCGGCGGCTTTCAGCAACGGCTTCAGCGGCTTCTTGTTTGCGTCGTACGGAATACCCGGCGAGCTCAGTATTTGCTGCACGTGCTCGTGGATCTCCTGCGACTTGTTCAGTTTCGTGTTTATTTTGACTTTCTTCGCGCTGTTAGGAGCGGAGAACGGGTTCTGTACCAGGCTGACATCCAAACTGAGTCGTCCCTTGCCTCGGATCTGTTTCATGGAGGTGTTGATCAGTTCGTGGACGCTTTGGTTGGTTTTCTTCGCTCGTCTTTTTAGTTTGGCTACGTGCTTCTTGGATGGGATGCAAATCTCGTACTCTCCTTCGTGCAGGGGCTCGTCCCAGGACGACTTCGGGAAGAGGTCGTTCGTTTTTTGGGGCGACTCGAAGAGACGTACCGGGTTTATGCCTGGCAATTAAAAAAAAATTGTTACTCAAATGCAAGTGTGAGAAAATAATTTTAAAAACTTAATTTCAAAGCTGTGGAAAAGGAAGTTGTTTTAAAAATTAGTTCCAATGCTCCATGTGGCATTTGACCGGTAGGCACAATGTACAGTAGTTCTTCCAGTTTTATTAAAACAGGACGTTCAAATATTACATTTTTTTTTAAGAAAATTGTAAATATGAGACTGGTGATTGAAAATGTCGGGCTGTGAAGGCTTTAAAATAATTAAGATATTAAATTTTATTAATTAAAGATTCACTTACCTCACAAAAACTATTAGCAAAGAATAATTGCTGTCTAATTTTGAAAAAAATGTGAAATTTTTCACAGAATTATAGGATTTGTAGGATTAAAAATAAAATAACGGCACTTTCAAGTCAATAAATCATCTACTGATAAAAAAAATCTAAACTAAATAATCAAGCCGATTTTATTAAACTAAACTACTTCATTTGACCAACTGACCCGATTTTGGAGAATCTTTTTCTACAATGGGACTTTTCGAAGACGACGCTTTATTCTTGCTAGGTGTCTGGTTTTCGTCATTTGGGCTTCCCAAATCCGTACCGAACGTACTGGGGCTCTTGTCGGATGGCAGCGCCGATTCCGAATTTTCCGGATTCCTCGACGAAGTACTCGGACATTCTTTGATGTCGGTAGAACTTTCCACAGATCCCTCATACGTTCCTAAAAGATAAAATTATAGATACGTTTTATTTTTAAAAACAGAAATCGTATCGGTACCCGTTTCTTGAGCGGTTGTCGCCTCGATTTCCCCCGTATCCCTGCTAACGTCGTACACCACCCAAGTACCAGAATTACGTTCGAAAACGCACTCTATGTTGTCGATTATTTGTTCCCGTGTTCCGTTCTTCTTCTTCCTCTTCTTTTTCGCTTCAGTCTTGTCGGTGTTAGTTTCGTTTCTCCTTTTCCTTTTAAGTTTGTTTTCCTTTTCATCCACAACTTTCACTTCTTCCGTATTTTTAGTTTCATTCTCGGCAATCTTTTTGTTTTTCCTAGTTTTTTTTGTCCCTCCGTTTTGCTTGGCAGAATTCTCTAGTTCCTCAGTCACTTTATCGCTGTTGATCGATATTTTTAGTTTCTTGTTCTTCTTCGTTTTCTTCTCCAAATCTCCTTCGCTTTGCACGATAAAATTTTCCAATTCTTCTTCAGTCACATCATCCCCGTTATGTTCCGCTTTTCCATTAACATTTCTATCGTCGCTTTTCTTCCGCTTTTTAGTTTTTTTGCTCAGATTTTGCCCAATAAACTTTTCCAATTCTTTTCCGTCAATTGTGTCTTTGTCAACTTTTTTCCGTTTCCGAGGCACCTCGTCCGTTTCTTCGTGGTCCCCCGAGCTTTTCCTCTTCTTCTTCTCTTTGCCCAAAAGCTTTTTTTCGAACTTCACGAGACGGTTCGTTGCCTTACGGATACTGGTATCGTAAGAATCTGTTTTTGTGTCCCGTACCTGCTTTGTACCCAACGGATACATGCCTTTCGACAACTTGGTGAAACTGTAACAATAAACGATAAACAAACAGAGTTTAAGACGTAAAAATATTAACTTACAGCTTTGTTAGCTCGTTGATGGTACTTCTAGACTTTGAATTACTGTCCTTGTCAAATTTGTATTCTTGGAGAGCGTTAACAAAGTGCTTAGCATTAAATTTAATTTGAGGTAATTCAACATCTACTCGACCCGCTCGGGGGTCTAACGGTTTTTCTTTATTTTCCAAATTCACTCCTTCCGACGCTTTCTCATCATCGTCCAGTTTGATTTTTTGCATGGAATTGATATTTCCTGGGAAACCTTCCTAAAAACGAAATCGGTTGCATCGTGAACGAACATTTTAAACTGCTTTACCCTTTTCCAAGCCTCGTACTTGGCTTGATAATCCATTCCCAGGTTTGACTGCTTGATTAAGTAAATAAATATGAATTTTCTTATATGGGCAATTTCTCGTCCATCACTTGTTACAGCCAGTTTCTTGATAAACGGGCGTATAAAATCTACTAAGCGGTCTGAAGGTATATTTCCTTCGGTTATCTAAAAAATATGTATAAACGATTTACAGAAACTAGTAAAAAATACTTACTTTAGCAATTTCCTCTAAGAAAATTTCAGTAAAATGCATAAATAGCCCTACAGGTGGATTAATATTTGTGTTTAGAACAGTAAGCAATACAACCTCACTGAACATATCTATATTCTTCTTACTTAAACCATGTTCTTTTAAAACTATCAACATATGCCTCAGCAGCCGCCTGACGAGCTGTAAAACATGATTGAAATGAACACACTTCACCTTATATCCTCAATTAAAATTCTTACCATTAAAAACTTGTCCAGCCTCAACTGGTCTATTCCAAACCACTGATTGATTAGGGTCGATAAGCCAGCTTTAAAGAAGCGTATAGGCTCATCGAAAGTTTGAAAATGAATCAGACTAGCAATATTCTCAGCACATTCTTCCTAAAAAAAAATGTGTGCAGAAAACAGCAAGCAATATTAGAAGTATTTACGTACTTGTGTTAATGGTTTATCGGACATCCACATGGAATAATAAAGCCCCTTCCAAATGATTTGAAAATCTTGATCAGTAAACGCTAAAATACAAAGAGAAAGATAAATCAAACTCGGAATTTGAGGTTAGAAGCACGTACGCAATGTTTTGGAACGGTGTGAGAACCATTTTTTTAGGTTTCTAAGAGCTCTATCCCTGGAGGGTGTGCTATTGCCGGCCAACACTCTCGCTAGCTCTAGTTCTTGAGCAACTAAATACACTTTCTTGTCCGTTTTCATGTTTTTTTCACGTGGACGGTCACCACTTTGCTCCCGCACAGCCATTTTAAAAATTTCAAACGAGTTCAATGACGTTGGTAGTGCGATTGTCCCTAGGAACGAAGTACCAACGTCGCAAATTGTAACTAACTACCATTTATGCCAACATAATTTACACAGAGAATAATCCGTTCGTAATGCTTTATATTTGACTTATATCACAAAATACTGGAAATTCTTTCGTTCGTGCTACTTTTATGAGCTATGCTATATATAGTATTCTATAAATCCAATGATTTAGCATTTTTTGCTAGATTTCGCTACGGTCAATTTAGGGACTTTATTCGATAACAGGACATGGGAGGAAAGCATCGTTGCCAGATGTCTGAAATTAGACAATTTTTCGTCTTGCTCCTAAAATATCAACTTAAATTATTATTCGATAATTTTGATGCTCAAAATGTTTAAATTTGTAAATACTTATTATTTAACATATCTTACCTAGCCTTGTTTGTTAGTTTAGTGGATAAATCTGGCAACACACGAGGAATTGCTCATAAAAATGCGATAAGTTGCGCACATGTTACCACTACAATGAACTGAAATATACTAAAAATTCCATTTGGCGCTGGATTTGAAGATTCCGCTTAATGACGTCACAAGACAAATTTTTGTTTTTTGGTATAAATGAAGTTGAAATGAAAAACGCAAAAATGCGGGCGCCATATTTTGAACTATTTTATTGGAACGTCCTGTTTTACTTGAATAAACTCGAAAAACGACATAATTTTGTTGGGGAAGGACGGGGACGCAATAAAACACAATTTTTGCAAACAATTTATTATAAGTTAGTGCTTTGAACAAGTTTCTTTTCATAATATAAAGCTTATTAAAGTATATTACATTATATTTGTTCGATTTAGTTTTTTAGACATTTTTTTTGACGAGTGCTTGATTTGTCTAGATTTGGTAACAATTGTATAAACCTTCTCTACTTAGTATACTAAAAAAGCTTCAAGTTATTTCATCGAGGTAGGAGACGAAATTATAAATGTCTACGTCAGAGATTTGTACAAAAAAATGCTTTTTCCTTCAAAAAATGAGCATTGTTTTGTGGTCAAATTTAAAAGTAACAATATCCTCCATCTAAAATATCAACAGGTGGTAATAAATAAGTACGTTATATCCACATCTCTACGAGGTCCTAAATAATGTTCAAGATTGCTAAGTGTGCAAGGTAAGTCGGTATTACCGCTACTCGTGTGGTCTGACCCACCTCACAATTAAAAAACTGTAACTTAAAAACAAAGACTAGATCAAATTTGACATAAAAACAAACAAAAAAACAAAACAAAAATAAGTACGTATTCTCTCTGTCACAAAAATCACACTATCAACAATAAATACATTAAAAATAACATAAATAAAAAAGCGAATTACATAAATCTGGCATTAGTAAATATTGAATTCGTGTCTAAAACTGTCGCTTCCGTGCAATGAAAAATTCAATAAGATTATATTAAATAAACTGTAAATACATAAAATTTACAAGAAAAATACAAGGGTCTATTTGTAAAAATAAATAAATTTTGCAAATCAGATAATAAAAAAAATTGGTTTAAAATAAATATCCTTTTTTTTTCAATTATAATATAAAAAGCTACGTTCCGTAGACTCATAGGTGGGATTTCGCGCCTTCCTGTTCATAAAAAAGGACGTATGCTTCACCACTGACAAGGGATTTCGGCGATATTGGACTAACCCTGAAAAACGATTAATCCATCTGTTTTATGCTCATACTTTGCCGGTACTTTGAGTCTCGGTTAAATTATTTAACGACCGAAATATCAATAGTTTTCAAGAAAAAGGCTGTTGAAATTCGAAAAAGAGAATATTCTCTAAAACTAAAATACTTCTGAAGACGTTCAATGTAGAATGACGAAACATGTTCAATCACTGGATTTCGTTAAAGCTGAAAAAATCCTTTACCTGTAAGACTTTTCTCTATTTCGCCCGTTTTTTTAACACTTTTGACTGTCTTTTGAGATATTAACACTTGAAAATCACTTTTCTGAAGCCCGCGAAAAAGAGGCAAAGCTAGAGAAGCATTTATTTGAACTTTATTCTAAAAATGAACAAATGTGTCTGATTCTTGAAAATCGCTTCCGACTGCTCTAAAAGCAGAGCTTGTGTCAAGATGTAACAATGCTACATCTATGACCAGTCACCGTTACTGAAAGTCTAGTCGTTAAAACAGCCAAACTGGCAGAGAGCAACTGGCTAATTCACAGATACTATGAAAGCGCCACCAGTGCTGCCAACCGTAGCTTTTCTACTTCTATTTACCTTCAAGAGCGGTGTAGCGGCGACCGAGAAAAATGAGAGCAAAACGTAGTGAATTTTCATTTTTTTAAATGCATATTAGAATCGTAACAACTTAGGTATACTTTTCTGAAGAAAAAAAAAAGGTATACCATGCGGTAGACGAGAAGTTCCTATTTAAAAATATAACTTGCTTTAATCATTGTTAGTTTAACTCATGGCAATGCGGACTCGGAAAGAGTAGTTTCAATAATGACGGATGTTAAGTCAAAAAAAAGAAAACCCCTATCGCCAGACATCCTGAGTGATATTTTAAGAATAAAAATTAATTGAGCAACCAAAGACAAATGTTGTACTACACACTCAATCAATAAAAGCCATTTACAGAATCTACGTATACATTTAAAAAGAAAGATGTGTCAACCGAGCCTACCGTTGCCAAAGAAAACGTTGCAGTTTTTGAACTGAACACCAACACCAACATGTCTGACTTAGATTAAAATTTGTTAAATTTATTTCAAATTTCCGTTTCCAAAAAAAAAAAACGTTTTTTTGTTTTTTATTTTTTTTTTGGTAAATTTGGTATTTGTTTGCTAGAGAATAATGTTTTCATTTGCGATATTTTTTGTTTTATTAGAGATTAAGATTTTCTTTGTGATTTGTTTTTTTACATTTATGTTTTGTTTTACCAGAATGAACTGTTTACTTTACTTTAAGAGGACTATACAGGGTGCCTCATAATTAGTGTCCAATAAATGCTCCATTTTCAAGAAAAACGGATTTAAGTGCTTAGAAAAGCACACTTTGGAAAGTGTAACATATTTAAACCAATTTTTCTCAAAAACAGATTACTTTTTTGATATAAAACAACATTAACATTTTTAATAGAAAACTCAGATCAATCAAATTTTACTGTTTTTGAAAATAGCAACATGACATGATTTTAGCTATTCAAGAAAATTTTTTTGAATTTTATTAATGTATGTAATGAAATACTTAGATCAGTTTTTTCTCGAAAATGGAGCATTTTATCGAAAGAAATAAAGAATACCGTTTTTGTAGAGGAAATGAGGGTCTATCATCTGAATTTGAAAATTTCAACAAGCAAAAAAATTGGGACAAATTTTACTCGACTGCCCTCCCAATTTTTGAAAAATTTTATGATAAACTATTTCGACTTTTAATGAGCGTTCACAATGTCAAAATCCATAATTTTCCTTCAACCCATTTCGAAAATATTAAAAAAAAAATGAATTTTTTGAAGCCCCATTTAGGAGGGCTTAGCTCCCTTAGGAAGCATTTCTCGACCCAGGTTTATATGAAAAAATATTTTTATTTTTGGCAATAGAATCAAGTGGTAAATTATTGGACACTAATTATGAGGCACCCTGTATAGCAAACAGGCAACCAACAATCGACTTTTATAGATTTTATTACACAGTTTGTCTAAATATGAATTAACACAAATAACAGACTTTCCCCCATTCTAACGCAAATTTTCTATAAAATGGACTTGGTTTGAAACTTAAATTACTTCTTAGTGTAGAGAAACTTGTAATTTACTTGCTCAAAAGGGGCAAATTACAAATTTCTTTAAAACTGTTAATAATTTGAGTTTCAAACTAACTCTATTTTATAGAAAATCTGCTTTAGAATGGAGGAAAGTCTGTTATTTGTGCATTCATTCATATTTAGACAAACTGTGTAATAAAATCTATAAAAGTGTATTGCTGGTTGCCTATTTGCTATAGAGCCCTTTTAAGTTTTGTTGTTTTTATGTCCCTATAAAAAAAAATGAAATTCAGATTCCAAAAATTCTAGTCAATATCCAAGTTTTAAGCCCAAAACAGAGCGTGATGTAGTGGAATTAGAAAAAGCTCGGCTGTAGCGGAGACTAGGGGGATTTTTGTAGTGACATAGCGATATCCGATATCTGTAATTTCCTAGTTGGCAACATGGCAACACTGGTTACGGTCACCACTAGATGTAAGGATTATTAAACTGGAAAACTGCTAGTGGCTCCACCTACATTGAATTATACTCGCAATATCTAGTAAACTGCCAAGCTAGGATCATTCTTCAACCAAACCCACCTGACAAATATTAGTTTGATTCCTAGGTAGGGTAGGGCAACCGATGAATAATTCAGCAATTTCTGGTGTCTTAACTACAGACAGGGGCCGAGTGTAGGTGAGATGTACCAAAGCTACATCTATGAACAGTCGTTATTCAATAAATGAACGCTAGCTGTTTTCTTGATATTGCTGGTATAATTCATGCTGGTTGCGGTATTAGTCGGCAGAGTAGTTGTTTCTTGCAATATCACCGATTTAAACATAAAGCAATTGAACGTCAGCTTATTAGACCGTATCCGTATCAGTTTATAAGAGCATATCTTCCTATATAAAAGTTTTACACAAAAAAATGAAGAACTGAATTCTTGAAAACACCGTCTTAGTTGAGGAAATATTTAACCGGTACTCAAAATACTGACCACCTAAATATACAGTTTACGACGGCGGACGTCGAAGACCTTCCGTCAAACTATTTCGATGGAACAAACGAAAAAATTTCGAATATTTCAAACAACATACTCACCGAGAATCATTATATTCGTGCCACGTGCCCGCGTACGGGTGCCTGCAGTAGGCGGTGTAGTGGCCGCTGTACGTCGTGCCGCTGTGGTTGGAGATGGCGTACAGGTTGTACCGGCAGGGGGCGATGTTGTCGGCGGCGTAATTGCTCATGTCCAGCCCCTCGATCGGGAAGTCCACCGTGACGTTCAGCTTGCCCCTAAACCGCTCCGTCGGCGAGAACCTCTTCAGATCTGATCGGCGAGTTAAGAGAAAACGGCTCGGCAAGAACTGATTCTGTCTCGTGTCGGCGTGGATGCATCGTTTACGTGAAACGATGTTTCTATTCACAATTTTCGAATTGATATAACCTCAAAGCAGGTTGTCCGACCAACTTTGAAGTATGCGAGTACCGAGATGCGTCCACGCCTTCCGCTATTTTTTTTAAATCAAGTAAATGGTCTAAAATTTGAGCTACATCATAAAAAAAATGTGTCACATTGTGGATTTATAAAAAGGATACGGATGACGAGAATTTTAGGGAACTTGTGGATTGAGAAAGACTTTGTACATTTCCTCCGTTCTTTGCATTTCGAACATGTCTGAAAGTAGAACACTGTTAAATAATTCCCTCAAAATAAGGCATATGTACCAGTAATCATCAGATTAAGGGACCTATTTTGACGTTTACTGTACGTTCCCAAACATATACCTTATCGGACAGATTTTAAAGATTAATACAACCTTTCGCTATAAAAAATGTAAAAAACACATCATCGTGAAAAGTAAACCAGAACTCACCGGTTTCTCGTCGCCATCCAACGTTTCCTCCCTGGTGAAACTGTCGAGGCACTGCGACAGCCTCAACTGACCAGTCCTCTGGGGTATCGGCAGCGAAAGGTCCCAGAAGGGATCAAAGGTGACGGAACAGTGCCCGCAGTACGTGCATTTAAGCGTCGACTTCAACTGTCCGACGAAATGGTCGACGATCTTCGAGTTGTCCATCCTCAGGTACCGCTGCCAGGACTCCTGCGCCTTCTCGTGATCGCTGGAAGCGTCCGATGCCTTTACTTTTCTCGAAAAATTTGGAACAACCGGGTACTTACCTCAATTTCTCGTCTATCTCCGTGAGGATGGGCTTCGGCTTCTCCGTCACCCTGTTGACGTCCTCGTGCAGGCCCTCCAGCAGGTAGCGTAGGAATTCCTGGGCGTCCTGCTGGGCGTAGCCCATGAAACGGGGAGCGAAACGCTGAATCTGGCTCTTCAGGGAAACCGTGTTCACCACCACCCTGTCCGAGGAGTCTTCCGACCACAGCTCCTTTATTACCTCGGCGAACGCTGAAAAGGCGACGGTACGTGAAACAGTCGAATTAAGACGGTTCATTTAAACTTCTACCTCTACCATTGTTAATACTTTTTTATGATATAAGAAAAGTTATAAGCTCGAGAGCAAAAACAGAAGCAAATATACTTGTCTTTGCATTTATGCTTTACTGATACGTCTGAACTACTTCATCATATTTTGAACAATCCGCTAAAATTACCCTCAGTTAATAGTCGCTTTATATTTCGGTATACTTCTGTATAAATTCGAATTAATATTCGAAAAGTATGTTGAAGATAAAATTTTTTAATGTTATTTTAAAAATTAACACCAAACGCGTTAAAACATCTCGTCCAAACCCCAGAGATCAAAAAACCGATAAGGAGAAAATGTCCATTTTTAACATGAACAAATTTAAAAAACACCTTTGTGACGTGACAACCATTAAATCCGAAAGGGCAATGTCACAAAACCATTTTGATGTTACTCGTTATTCTTGAATTTGTCAGAAATAAAGGTTATACATACTTTTATTTCAGGTGCAGAACAAATCTACCACTACAGAGTACAGAAACTTTAATATTAAAAAGCATCAACAATCCACAAATCAAACTGAACTACTTCAACAATTTTTTTTTTACACACCCGATAGAATTAATTCTCCTAATAGTCGCTATATATTCAGATATTAAAATTTAATGCCAAGACAGATAAAATATCTCAATTCTACCCCCATACTACACGTGGTACATTTGAACTACTCCATCAAATTTCTAACACCACGCTAGAACCATCGCTCATTAATAAACGCTTTATGTTTTATACACAATTGTGTAAATTTGTAATTAATATTTACCCAAGTAAAATTTTAATTTGCAGTTAAAATTCAACACCAAGACCATTAAAATATCTCAGTTCGACTCCAAACTGAACCTGGGACATTTGAACTACTTTATTATAGATTAAAAATTAAACAACGAACAAAACTCACCCTTGATCAGAGCGCCCTTCATGCCCGATATGGTCGTGTTGATGTCCCTAATATAGGAGTCCTTCCTGAGGTACTCCAGCAGCCACCTCGTGTTGGACAGGCACTGGATGACGCTGTTCATGAAACAAGTGTTGCCGATATTCTTGAGCCCGTTGAGGCCCAATACTTTGGTGCTGTTAAACGGCCGAATGGTGTTGCGTTCGCCCCCGCTGTCATCGTCCAGGATATCGCGGGCGCGGTGGCTGTCTCTGTCGCTCGAACGTCGGGACAACGAATTTAGACTGCTGGGGATGGAGTTGGAGGGGGAGACGGCGTTTCTGTTGAGTTTCGGGGATGCGGCCAGATCCTGCGGGCAGACGGTTCGTCAGGTACGTGAAAAATCGACCCATCAAAAAAAGCGAATTTTGCAACGATACTATTTCCTAGGGAACGTACCGTCCTGTACAGACAGTAGAACTTAACGCCGTCGTCTCGAAACTGACAACTTGTGCGGCCCGTGAGATTATCGGTGATGCCGATAACGAAGCCGTACAAGACGCTCAGCAAAAGCAACATCCAAATTAGTATTAAAAAGTATTCTAGGTACATATCACTAAGTTCCATTTCATGCATTTGAAATGACGAACAAATTATAAAGAATTAATAAAATAAAGTCAGTTAATTTTCTTATTGTTGTAAAAAAATAATAAAATAATTTAAATGACAGAAACAGTTACAAAAAAGCTGCAGTTAGTCACAACTATTAATACTGGCAATAGTTTCTTTGATCATTTACAGTACGTGGCTTTTATCATTGTTTATTTTGTATTGTACGTTTATTAAACCAGGATTTGGACTTTTTAAAGGAAATATAAACTAAAACTAAACTAAAAATATTAGGAACTACTTGAGACGTGCAGCCATGTTGTGAGAAAACTAAAAATAAAACAACCTTAGCACAACCACATAAAAATAAAACTTGCCAAATAAACAAGGACGGGTACACATTTTTCGAGTCTAGATCCAAATCTGAATAATCCAAATACCGAAAAGCACTATTTTAAGAATTATGATTTTTTTACCCGTACCAATATGTATTTTCTCGATATCTGACTCCCAAGGCCTGACTTATGGACACTACTTGACATTTTTTCAAATTTTGACAGCGAACCGACACATGCCACAAATTTTTTCCTCAAAAATTTCACAGGTAACCGTTGAGTTCTCAGGCTGTTGTTTATTTTTAATACGAAAATTTTCCCAAGCAAAACAATCCAAATGATTAAATAGATATTACATACTATCACCCGGCATATTTTATAGCATTTACACAAAAACACAGCTGCGAAACGATTTTTCACACGAAAAATTAGTGATTAACATTCAAGACGTTAAAACAATATCCCTAAGCCCACATAACCAGGTCAATCTTGCCAAAAATGTAGCGTGATGCAATGCAGAAAATAAAATACACAGGGAAAATTACAATCAGTCCGTCGACACAATGAATTTTGCATTAGCGAATTGACTACGGATGTAAATATATTTATCGAGCATTCTCTCATCGAGATACATCCTAGGACAGATGAAAAGTGAAGATTTATCGACATAAATTTCATCAATTTGTGCAAATTATTTTTTTTTGCAAATTGGCAATGACTTTTCCCAATCTCAGGCAAGGACGTAGAAACAGGAAAAATAAAAAACTAAAATAAGACGGATCTGTGCCAGATGTCGTTCACATCTATTTCATGTTTTGGATACATGTGACGAAGTTATCCACTTGACGTATCTGCTCGTGTCTACGTAATAAAAATAATCCAAGACTTGGCAGCTGTTCAGATGCACCCTACATACTTTCGAAAACAGCACTTACTCTCCAATTTTTATTTTGCCTAGTAAACACGCCGATTTTTGAAAATTTGTAATTTACAGACAAACTAATAATCGTCTCGTAACATTACCTGAACGGGGCTCGACGTTATGCACTTATTTTCATCGGGGAAATGCGTCATGAGGATTATCAGATTTTTTATTATCTCGCACAGAAAGCAGAACATCGCACCGGGGTGTCTCCGAGTAACCAAATGGAACGGAAACCGTTAGCTAACGGAATAGAACACTTTCAAGAAAGTTCTACGCATTCTGTCGACCGCAACACCACAATTAGCTCCCATTAGTATTGAAATTGGTGAAATTTATCGTGTTCACCAGGTCGTAGACATAAAATTTCCTCCACATAGCGTTGAAAAATAAAAACGATACTCGACGACTGTTGCGAAATGACGAATCAAGTGTGTCGAAAAATGTACCACCCAAATTCGTTAGAATTATTTTTTAATGACAGATAACGATTTACAATGGATTTTAGACAACGAACGAAACCTTAAATATTCCTAGCGATTTGTTATCTTATCAGTACATGTTAATAAAGTTAACTTGGCTGATTATTTTCCCTTTTAAACCACGAATGAATAGACTGTGACGTAATTCATAGTATCATATCATTCGAGATAAAAAACTTTGTTTAAATAGATCGACCAAAGGATTTGCTAATTCTCGGTAGAACCGACAGTCACGGCATTCAACTTTTTATGATTCGCTGCAAAACTCGCAGAAATTTTTGATCCGGTTCACGAAATTTTAGGAACGCATTCAACGAGGAATTTTATCTGAAAATAAATTTAACCTCGATCGTTATCGTACAATCACAAAGGCGCCTCCTTATCACGGCCACTTCATCCGATTCAATCTCGTTTTTTATTACATAAGTTTTATTTATGGCGGCAATTAACAGATCAACAGTTATTTAACAACTGATTTAATTTTTTTTTTAAATAAATCGAGATTAACAACAAACAAAAGATAAAAGCTCTCTGCTCAAATTGGTATTAGTACGATTAGTTGGGGGATTATATTTAACTGGAACGTATCGATTTAATTTATAAAAACGTGAAAAAATTAAAGGATTTCGGGGTAGGACAAGTCAACGACCAGTTAGATACAATCGGGGAGCGTAAGAATATGCGAAACTCGTACTCACGTTTTGCAAGATTTTCCCTGCGTAATTATCTTTGTTATCCATGTCATTTTTAGCGTTCTCCTTCAAACTGAGGCCGTCCCCTTTGCTCTCATCCCCCTTCTGGTAGTCTTTGGTGGGGATGTACGACGCGAAATTGTTTACCCTCGAGCTACTCCTAGACGGCGTACCATTTACCTCCTCGCCGTCCTCATCCCCCTTGACGTCTGACCCATTTTTCAGACAGTCCTCCTCATTCACTTCCAATTTTGTGTTTGACTGTAAAACATCAGTGTTACTTTGACACTTCCCCGATGTCAAATTGTCAATTTTTTTACCGGCTGACACACTGTTACTCGGTCTTTTCGCGATTTTTGCCTTGCCGTTAGTAAGCTTGGCCGTGCTCGTGTCGTCGTGCTTTTTTAGTTTGCTCTCGGCCGTCTTGTTCGCCGAGGTGCCGTTTTTTACGGTTTTCGGGGGTTTCTCGTCGAACTTCCTACACAGCTCGGCGACCGACGCCCGGTTGCCGTTGTCGTCCTCGTCCGAGAGGTCGTCGGCGTTATTAGTATTGTTAGAGTTTAACACATTGTTAGTAGTACTAAAAACAGCATCGCCCCTATCGTTTACCTTTTTTTTGTTATTAGTTTTCGCCTCCAGGGGAGGCAAGCCTGAAAAAAATATTCAACCACTTAGAAGTTACACACTTACATTGTTACATTAAAAAATTATCATTAAACAATTCAAACAAGTAGTAAATATTTTTTATTTGTCCATTCGATAATGCTGGAAAAAGCCCCCGGAATTATTAATTGTATGGAGAATATTTAAAAAATGACGTTTGACATCACTACTAATTTTATTGCAGCAACCCATGAAATAGAAAACATCAGACAGTCTAGTACACCGTTGCCTACTTTACAACTGTCATTTGGCGTCACCTAACCTCTCCATCAGCCCTCAACTACTAAATTTAAAGTTTGGCACCTCTAAAACTTTTGTATCTTTAACACGTTTCTAGATATCCCTGTTGTGTATTAATCTGCACATATAATTGATGACTGGTGTGTTATTTTTACTCTAGGCACAATGGACACTACCCTTGCCAAAGTGGATTCCAATAATCTACCACGAATTGAGGACAAAAGAAGATAAAAACTCACCTATATCGTTAATAGATTTGGACCTCGAAATATTTTCATTTTTTCTTAGGCAAGCAGGCACATAGTTAGCGGGTGAATACTTGTTCCTCAATTCCGCGACGGAATCGATTACGTTTAACGTGGACAGTCTGTCGTTCCGCGACAGGGAGCTATCCCTCCTCGGATAATCCGAAATTGAATTTTCCCTTATCGAACTTATCCCCGAATCTCTTCCTATCGAATCGCGTCGTACGCTCGGTTCTCTCGATTCCTCTCTAAATCTGGTAGTGACCCCATCCTCGGTTATAGATCCCGACCTAAAAACAGCTCACAGTGACTTCTTATTACGTTTAAGTCGGGGTACGTACCTTGAAAAGATTCGCCTTCCGTCCGAGTCGGTGTATGCCCTTGTAGTGTATCTTTCGCTGTAACTTGTAATCCTAGGGCTGTACGAGGAGGGGCTGAAGTAAGGCCTGTCTAAAGCGGAGGAACTGAAGTTGGATCTGTAGGAACCACTTAGCCCGGAGGCCGAACTGCGGTGGGGGCTCAAGACAGGCATTTTCCCGAATGATTGTTGAACTTAATGAGTTTATGAGTGTTTACTTTAGCATTTCACTAAAAAAAGCAAAATGTCCGAGTGAAATTTTCGCATGAAAACGTGAGCAAAGTGAATTTAATACTATCTACAGGGTAAAAATAGCTTATTTTCTAAAATATGTCACAGAGTGAATGTGTAAAAGAGAGAAATAAAAAGTCATTGGTTATTTTTAGAATACAGTCTAGCAAGCCTAGTTTAATTTTTGTTGCAATTGTTATTTCAGAGTACTTGATTATTCTGGAAATCAAACGTGGGCCGCTAAATTATATCAATAATTTTTCAAATAATTAAAAACTAATTCGGTACTTTTATAAACAATTCACTAGTTCCAAAATTAAAAAAAATCATCGAGACATCAAGTGGCTTACCTGAGGTTTGTTTTGTTTTGCGTTTTTCTTGTGTTTTATTAGAAATTCTTATCAAAAAAGTAGAAAAATGTCATTCGGGATTCGGGAACGTTACGATTCAGCCATTTTAGAATGACGTCATAATTGTAGATTGCTCATCAAGCGAACGTCCTTGAGAAATTTTTATACAAAAATGGAACAATTTTTAAACAGCCGCAATTAATGCAATTACTAATTAAAGGGTACGTTCCATAATATTACATGTTAAACACTTGCTTCATCTTCATGAAGACAGTCAAACAATTTTTACATACGTACAAAAAATAATTGTATATTCTTAATTAAGCCTTCGTATCATATGAGAATTATATATCTTTCATGCTAATTTTATATGTTAATTGAAACACCTACATGATTGATAAGCCGATAAGCTCGGTTATTAGGTAAGCTCAGATTCTGATAAGATAAACTACGTTGATTTATACGTAATAGGTATATGCATATGTAATATTCTTATCTATTTGAAACCAAAACTTCTTTTATAATTTCTGTTTTTTAATAATTCATGAAGTTGAACTTTGCTGCCTAGTTATCCAATATGAATTATTTTTAATCTAGGTAAGTACCAAAGTACCTTACCTTCATAAAACGGGGGAATATTAATATTCTTAATCGAAAAAAATGCGTTAGGAACAATAAAGCTCGTTTCAACTCAAAATTATAAATATTTTATGCCAAGTTTACGTTAATTGATCGTTGACGATAATGATTAATTGAATGATATGTGACTGATAGCTTAGTTATTAGATAAGCTGAGATTCTGATAAGCTACCTTGACATATACAGGGTATTCCAAACATCAGTACCAAAATTTTAACCACATCTTACTCATCAAAAGCAACAACTTTAGTCTAACAGTTTTTTTCGATAACCTCATATAGTATTTAAGATAATTTTTTTTTTAATTAAAATTAAGTTACTACAAATATTCAAAGTGTCCTCTGATGTTGTCAAGATGTACCTAATTCTACACACTAATTCTCTTTTAGTCTTATTAGGATTTACGGATTGTGGCGGTATTTTCTATTCGTTCTTGTAATTACTCAACCGTATTACCGAGTCGAATACACCGTCTATATCAAATGATGTCATAAGGTCACACGGATTTAAATCTGGCGGTCGAGCGGGCTATGCAACTCTACCATTTCGACCAATCCATTGCCCAAGAAAGCGCTGATTTAACTTCTTTTAGAATTCTTTGTATTTTTTAAATATGTAATTTACTAAGAGTAACTTCTCTGTCTAATATAAATTTATTAATATTCTCATTGAAAAAAAAAATGTGAGGAAAAATAAAACATTATTCAAAACACCAGAAAATAATTTATTAACAATTAGAATAAATTACGTAAAGGTACACAACGATCAAACGTACATGACCAGCAAACATTTACTGATAACTCTCATAAATTTCTCCCAGCTCGACTTTAAAGTTGCGTCGGTCCTAAAATAAATTAACGCAGTTTTACATGGAAGAACTGAAGTTATACGTCTTACCGGATAATATCAATTTCAAGAGCGCATTGAGCGTAGGCGTTGAGAAAGAGCTCGAAATCGTGGATGGACCAATTACTTTGCTTGAAATAATCTAAAATTTGAGCCAAATCTGTGAACAAGTTCTTCATGTCCCTCGCCCTGTGGAGGGCAGTGGCGAGGGTCAAGATCGTCCTCGTATACAACCGAAAGTTTGTGTCCAAGTCGATAAAGTTCTTTTGCAAGAGTTTCGGTTTCAAATACAGACACACCAAACTGGAAATTCCTAAATGGTGTACTTTGTTCTCGGTAATAAAATGTTGTACTTACTGTTTGTGGTCCTTTTCTCTGTCTAATAATACTTTTAGTTCCCTTAATTCTAGTAAAAATTCCTTGTCCATTTCCGTGTCATAATACTCTGGACCTACAAGAACGTCTGTAGTGTTCTGCGATTTAAAGACGCAATCGTAATTACCGGTAATTTTATAAGTCCAGTGTTCCATTATCGTTTCGCAACATTTCTTCCAGCTGTTGAACGATAAGTGTTGCAGCTTTTTCTTCGACGTTTCGAATCTTATACAGGCTATGAATACTATACAGGCATACTTTTTGGCAAGTTTGTCGGGTAAGTAAAACAAATTCTTTATATTTTCTATTATCGAACCCGGCATTTCTTCCACGGTTTTAAATATTCTCTTAACGTTGTCAAATTGTCGTCTACAAAATAAACATCTACAAAAATACAAAATAATAGTCGATACACTGTACCTGCATGATTTAAGCGATTTTCCAGTCTTCTCAGCTACCTCGTCCAAGTCTTTTCTGTTCTTCGATGACAGTTTCTTACCTAATAATTCCCTAATAACTTCATCATCGAATTCGTAATACCTGAAACAAGACTACTATAGTAACTACAAACACTGCTATTGTACAAGGTACTTCTCAATGAGCAATAGTCGTGTTTGAGGATCGATTTGAAATGCTAGTTGTTCCTGTAGCTTGTTCGGGCTGCTCAGAAGTTTTTCGAGCAGAGCATAGGTACGGTAATGATCCAGCACATCACTAGCGATGAGCTCCAGAGAGGCTCCCGTCTTAATACCTAATCCTTTGTCGTTTAATATAGCTACCGCTTCACTTGCTAAGAAAATTATTTTATCACTAAGCAACAGGTAAACATCACTTGAATAAATACTACCTGTGTGACCTTCTACCCATAGCTGAAAAATTTCTGGGTCTACTAGGGTGTAGTTACTAATAAATACATCAACTTCAGTCATGCTTGCTCTTAAAATAACATTTTCATTTTGCCATTTTGTTTATTTTTTAGGTTATGTTTAGAATTATGCAAATTGACCTCTGCAACTCTCACACAACCAATGGTGTATTATATGTTGCCTATGCTATGCCAGAAAATAAACAATTTTGAAATTAGTTTTTTGAGGTTAATTTGTAATTTGTCTTCTCGTTAAGAATAAAAACAGCTATGGATCCTCCAGAAATAAAGAAATTGGATGTGGAAGTCATAAATAGAATAGCAGCAGGAGAAATTATACAACGCCCTTCAAATGCCTTGAAAGAATTAATAGAAAATAGGTTAGACCTGTAATACCTTTAAAAAACCACTAATTTATATGTAATATACTTTTAGCTTGGATGCAAAATCTACAAATATTCAAGTAACAGTAAAAAGCGGCGGACTTAAATTATTGCAAGTACGTCGGTGTCAATATTTATTAACTTATATTACAGACTCAAACATTGTAGATTCAAGATAATGGCACCGGTATAAGGAAAGAAGACTTTGAAATACTCTGCGAGCGTTTTACAACATCCAAGTTACGAGAATTTGAGGATTTGCATAAACTCAACACTTACGGCTTTAGAGGAGAGGCTTTGGCGAGTATTTCTCACATCGCCCATCTAACCATAACGTCAAAGACTAAAAACGACATATGTGCCTACCAGTATGTAACATTTAAATAACTTTGGATAATTTCTACCAAAATAATTTCAGAGCATCATTCGTAGACGGTAAATTACAAGGAGTTCCTAAACCTACCGCTGGCAACCAAGGGACCATAATTACAGTCGAGGATCTTTTTTATAACATGAACGTTAGGAAGAGGGCACTCAGGACTTCAACAGAGGAATATCAAAAAATCTCAGAGGTTGTTAGTAAATATGCGATTCACAACAGCGGTGTAGGTAATAATGGTATATTTATTTGTCTGTTAAGGTGTAAGATTTATTTTCTTTAGGTTTTACATTAAAGAAATCCGGGGGTAATACTGATATTCGGACACCTGTAAACTCGAACCAAATAGATAACATTAAAATCGTTTATGGAAACGTTATAGCCAGGGAACTGATAGAATTTTCATTGGATAATCAACCGTTTAAGTTTAAAGTGAGGGGGTACATCACAAATGTCAATTATTCGACTAAAAAGTTTCAATTCCTATTATTTATCAATCACAGACTGGTGGATTGCCACAGTAAGAACATTTACATAATTTTTTAAAGGGCATTACGTTATATTTTATGTTTAAGGTTTGAGGAAGTGCATCGATCAGGTATATTCCACTTATCTGCCGAAAAATACACACCCGTTCGTATATCTGAGCCTAGAATTAGATCCCGCGGACATCGATGTTAACGTGCACCCCACAAAACACGAAGTGCACTTCTTAAACGAGGAGCAGATCGTAGAAACTATCACCACAGCGCTAGAGACGAAGTTGTTAGGCTCGAACAATTCCAGGGTTTTTTATACCCAGGCAAAATTGCCGAAAGTTTTTAGCGTGACCAGCGAAACGTTGCAAGGAAAAGAAGGTGCGCCGATCCGCAGCGTAAACCCAAAAGATTTCGTCAGGACGGACGCGAAAGAACAGAAAATTGAAAAATTTTTCGGAGCTCCGATAAAAAAGGATGCTGCGATCGAGGTGAAAACAAGTCTAAACCCTCCCGTTTCTGAATCCAGTGGAAAAGGGAATCAAATGGATGTGGACGTGTCACTTAACGAGGAAGAATTTCAGAGACAACATGAGCTTTTTGTCGAGAGGAACGAGAAATTCGAGGATCGTATTTTAGAGAAGTCTACGGAAAGTGTTCTAGAAGGTAAAATAACGTGCTCGAGTAAATTTTCTGTTGGCAGTAAATTATTTTTAATGTTTTAGCGGAGCCACGACAGAATGAGGGCTGTAGCAAGAAACTCGTTCCCGAAGTCCAAAACCCCTCAAAAACCGCATCGGAAACAAAAGAGCAGAAAAAAGTTGTGAAAAACAACGAAACTTTGAATGCCTCGTTCATTTCAAAAGTAACGAGGTAAGACGTACATTTTTTGTTCGTCATAGCTTTGATTTTTAAGCGACTGAAATCTTCAGGGCAGACACGAAACTGACCAGCGTCCGAGAGCTCCGCAAGGAAGTCGAAGACAACTGTCACCGGATACTGCGAGAGACGTTCGCCCAGCACGTATTTGTGGGCAGCGTGAGCCCGTCCCAAGCGCTGATCCAGTTCAGCACGAAGCTGTACCTGTGCGACACGGAAAAGATACTCTCGGAATTGTTCTACCAGTTCGTCCTGTACAACTTCCGAAACTTCGACTGCTACAAATTTTCCAATAAGTTCTCCATCACGGAACTGGCGTTGATCTGTTTGGAGCTGCCCGAGGCCGGTTGGACGCCTGAAGACGGAGACAAACCGGAATTGGCGAGACGTATCACCGAAATACTCACCGACAAGGGGCCTATGCTGTCGGACTATTTTTCCATGGAGATTGACGAACGCGGGAATCTGTGCAGCATTCCGGTTTTGCTGGGTAAATTTTTTTTAAATAATATCTAAAATGTTTTATTTTTCCAATGTAACAGTGCCAAAATACATAAATAGGTATGACTTCTTCAATCTGCACTGTCTCGGTGTGTCAGTGCTTGTCATAAGTGTAAAAGTAAGAAAGACGTATTATTATTCACCTCGATAAAATATCACCGACTAATTTCTTCGAACAGCATGCGTACATTTTCGATTATCGTATTTTTAATTTTAGACAACTACGTGTCAGACCCGACCGGTTTACCGATGTACGTCGTCCGGTTAGCGACGGAGGTGAACTGGGAAGAGGAGAAGGAATGTTTTAAGTCGTTTGCTAGGGAAACTGCCAAATTTTACGCACAGGTTTCAACAGAAACCAATGAGAAAGGCCAAGACTGGAAGTGGGTCACCGAGCACGTTCTATATCCCGCGATTAAAGACTATTTCATACCGCCGAAGAGTTTCGTCGAGAACGCCGCCGTTCTGGAGATTGCGAGCCTACCTAATTTGTACAAAGTGTTTGAAAGGTGTTAAATTTTTGTATTTGTTGCTTTTTCTTTAATAAACTATTATTTTGTATATTTAGTTTAAAAAAATTGTTCCTAATACCTTTTTTTGTGTAAGTATTCATACAGTCCGTTTTTTTAAATCAAACAGTCGAGTGTGACTGTAAAACTAACGGAGCGACGGTGAGCGAAACTACAATGGAAAATAACTTCATAAAAACAAATTTCTTTTGTATGACTTTGTGTTACTTTAAAGTCATCATATTTTTTCCAGCATTTTTTTAAATTTTAAAGGCCATGGAAGATAATCCTAGTACCGCTGCTAGAAGATTAGCCAGAAGTTTTCAAGTATGTCATATGCAGTAAAAATCAGGCGAGTAAACAGATTATTTACTTATTTTTGTGTATATCTTATATTCATGTAAATACGTGCAGTATCTGCTATTTTGTGCGAAGGTAAGTTTGGTTAAATCGTAATATTTTAGTGTGTAGAATTCGCTGTTGGTTCCGTGTACCGTTACATATAGCTCAGGATATGACGGTTTTTAGGTCTGAATTCTTGACCGTGCACCGATTGACATGAAATTTTAACAGTAAGTGGAAAATTACTCAAGAAACAAAAGTTACATAGTGGCAATGTGTGCTTTCACCCTGGGGGTGAATGCCACCCCTTTTTGGGGGATGAATTCCAAGCAAAAATTGCTCTATTACATTTTTTCCAAAAATTAATATTTTCCGAGTTATTTGCGATTGAAAATTTTCATCTAAAAAGTGCATGTTTTTCAACCATTTTTGATAAATAACTCGAAAACCTTTCACTTTATTGAAAAAGCCATATAAAGCAAAAATAAAGCTTTTGAAATAACAAATCGATTAATTTTGTATTGATTACCGTAGATGTAATAATAACCGAGTTATCACTCTCAAAACGTGATTGTTTATTTTTCGGAAAGTAAAATCGAACCTTTTACCGTAAAATAATGGCGAAAGAACAAATTTTTCGGAGAAAATAAATATAACCTTTTTTAAAGTGCTTGGAAAGACCTTTAAAATGCTTTTTGAAAAAATTTTGTAGCTCAATATGAAAATAAAATGGTTATCTCATTTTTTCGGAGAAAAAATCAACAATAAAATCTATGGCTGAACCATAAAAGTAGAAACTAAGCGTAATCCACGTACAATTGACTTTATTTAGGTACTAATAATAGGCTCTGCAAGTTTGACCAGTTTAGAATGCCTAAATTTTAAAAAAGTTTGAAATAATGACAAAAAATTTTTTTTAATTTTTAAAAAAATGTCCTTTTTTTCCAAATAACTCAAAAACTAAACAAGGTACATGAAAAATGCAAGAGTTCAAAATTAAAGGTCTTTTTTTTATAATATTTTTGCTCTCTTTCAATTTTTCTGTAGAGCATAAATTAACTGAGATATTACGTTTTTTAGTTTGCATTTGCGTGTAAGGAGCACCTTCTTTGAGCCCTTAAAACCTAAAAATCTCGAAAACGAAGAGTCCAAGACCCTTCAACTATAAAGGTTGATTTCTTGCTCTTGCAATTCCCTGCAAATTGCTTTTTGGAGCGATGAAAAATATTAAAAATTAAAAAAGTTATTGTGAAAAAACGAATTGTATTATTCAGAGAAAATTGTCGTGTAAATGGCTTAACTGTTCTGGAGCGCTTGCAGTTCGAGTCCTTCGTTAAGGCTACTAACAAGAAAACGGCTGTGAAACTATCATCTCTTGTCCCCACAGTTGTTCTCTGGACCAACACATTAAGAGAGTTTTTTTACAATTTAATGTGAAAAAAGTGACGAAATCGACAAACTTTCGAAATTTTTTTCTCAAAAACTACTGAACAGATTTTAAGTCTAAAAAAAGCATAATAGTTGGAATATTTCCTACTTTAAGATATATTTTTTTGGTATGGGTCAATCATTTTATTGAAGGTCTAAAGCGAGTAAAAAAAAAGTATTTTAAAGAAAATTATGATAACACTTCAAATTTAAATTTTCTTTTTACAATATCTTGGATTAGATTATATTTACAATAAACATTATTATGATTTTTTTTAATAGATATATGTTAACAGTACAAATGTTCAAAAGATCATTTTGTTTGGTTTTGTAGCCAGAGTAAGGTTTTTGCAAATAATTAGTAAAATTTAAATATTCGATTTTTAGTTTTATAAATGGCTAAAATTAACTTGAAAGTTATACCAAAACTAAAAAAATAAACTTTTTAAATCGTAAAATTAACCTAATAATAATAACTGACCCAGCGGTCTTGAAAAATAAAAAAGTTATTGGATAATTTATTGTAGAGGATAATTATTTTATTTTTATCCTACAAAAATATTAAGAGCAATAAAAGTATATTAATTTCTTTTTTATTTAAATAATAAGTTTTTCGTTATTTTCGACAAGTTCTTGAGTTGAAATAAGCGTTTCATCATCAATTTCGGATGAAACATTTTGACATTCATCTGAGCATGCACAAACTACACAGCATTCCAGTTTCGATGATAAACAGTTACAATTTTTTGTAAGCATTTTCCACTACATGAATAAAAATATTTTTGAAGCATATCTAACCCAGTTTCTCCTTCGAAATAATTAACATCCAAACAACCATTTTCGATTTTCCATCCATATGTCAATGGATCTAAAGTTACAATTTCACTATTTGTAGACTGTTTTTTTTTTACTCGCTTTAGACCTTCAATAAAATAATTGACCTATACCAAAAAAATATAGTATAGTAGAAGATCTGCCGATTATTATGCTTTTTTTAGAATTAAAATCCGTTCAGTAGTTTTTGAGAAAAAAATTCCGAAAGTTTGTCGATTTCATCACTTTTTTCACATTAAATTGTAAATATCTCGGAAACGAAGCATTTTTCACAGCCATTCGGCGAGTAATTTTTTTTGTATCTTTTTTGTGTATAACAATTGACTGACCATGCTGAAAAATATAAAAAAATATGTAAATTATCATAAAAATACACTATAAAATAAAAAAGTTTCATGCTGTAGGATTTTGTTTTAAAAATTTAGTCGGTTACCTTCATTTAGAAGCATCTTTTAGGGGTGAACCACTCGCCTATTTTGAAGCGGGTAAAAATTCTTCAATTCCTCATTAAGGGTCGTTTTTAAGGGTTGAAACGTTGCAATGAATCATCAGTAATATATATAAAGCTATGATGTAAAAAACATTTTTTGCCTTATTTTCTGCAATAAGGGTGGTTTTTGGGGTTGATACGTTGCTACATATCATAAATTATTATTCAAAACATTTGACTGGACTTACAATTATATAAATAATTCTGTGACTAACCGAACTCGCAAGTAACCCTAGCCTTCCTCTAGTGACTCCGTGTAGCAATACGGGATGGATTAGTCAATCTCATTTAATCTATTCTTATAGCTTGGAAGATCCGCCTAAAAACCAGCTATTTGACCTATAATTATTTTTCTAACAACTTATTCTTGGAATTCCTATGTTCTTTGGAATGTATTTCGCGCGTTATTTGAAATATCAATTTTTCTCTTTATACCAGATGCTCAACACATGACCCCGACAGACTAAGTGAACTTGTTAAAAAATATTGCTAAATTTCTCCGAAGGACGACGCTAAACCTACTTGAGAGCCCTTAACTTTCGATAATTATTAGTGTTGACTGAAATATTTTACTTTTTGGTCCATCCGTTCCAAGAACTAACCAAATAAATTACCACGCGTCCCGGCTTTTGTTACAACACTTAAATCTATGGTTTTTACGTTTTTTGCAAGAAGGGGTAGTTTTCACCCCCTAAAAACAATAAGCACACATTATGGATATGTAACTTTTGTAAAGGAGGCTGAAATGAGCTTACTCACCAATTTTTATGAAAATCGGCACGCGTGTCAAGAATTCGGAGGTAATAGCCTACTTTTACCGTTGTATACTGGACTAATATGGGTCACTGTGTACAGATGTTAAGTTACCACACATGAAAAATAAAAACAAAATTTTATTGTTGGAAAAATACAATACGTATAAAAATATTTTTATCTTAACTAAACGACAAACTTAAAATACATTCTCACAACCCGTTTCAAAATCAAGTCCGGTACTTTAACGTGGGTTAAAACTAGGGTTGTTCACTTTCTCGGTTAGCAGCGCATTTACTGGAAAAAATGTAGCGTAAGAATTTAATCGAATAAAACGTTTCCGCTTACTCTTGTTAGCTTTACGAAGGGCCTTCTCCAACTCGTCTGCTTTGTTGGAAGTCAGAAGCAACTCGTGTTTTAATTTATCTTTTTCTTCGTTGTTGAACGAAGCCCTGTAACTCTCGAATTCCTTTAAAAGTTCGGCAGTTCGTGTCTTTTGCTGCACGATGGCCTCTTGCAGTTCCTCCACCTAAAAACGAGATTGTTTAATAAACCAATTACGTAAACATACAAAAAAAAATGTCAACCTGTCTAGCCTTATTATCACAATGGTTATTGAAATTGACGAGTAACTGATTGGCTTGAACTAGATCTTTCGACAACTCGTCGATGGTAGCCTTTTTTTGGGTCAGTAAAAGGGTCACCTTTTCCATGTCGCCTTGCAGTTCGTTCTGAAATAATGGAAACATATATAATTATATTCAAAACTACATATATTAAACCTACATTTTTTTTGCGCAGTTCGACTATGGCGGTATCTTTCTCCTGAAGATTTTTCTGTAGATCGGAAATATATCTGTCTTGGTTAAATTTCGTGGCATGCAACGTGCTATTTTCCTTTTTTAGGGTGTGTATTAGAGCCATGTTACTGTTAGCGTCCAGTTGCAAGCTTTCCAACGACTTAATGAGATTTTTGCTTGACTCAGACTTTTGGTTAACTTCCCTCTTCAAGAGTTCTACATCTTTTAAAGATTTTACTACCCTGTTCTTCATCGACACAATTTTACTGATTAACAGCATTTGAACTTCTTCGATTTTGGTATTAAACAGTTCACTTAATTGTTTTAAATTCTGAAACAATATCTTTATATTTATTTGTCATCAAATTAAATTTTTTTAAATACTTACATTTTGGAAACGTTTTTCTAAATCATTTTTCAAGATAATTAGATTGTTTATTTCTTGATCTTTTTCAGAAATTGATTTTCTTAGAGTTGATAACTGTTTCTTCAGCTTCTCATTCGTTTCCTGAAATACATTATTGAGGATACCTAGAATGACCAACAATTAACTCACCTGGATGTATTGCATGTTACTTAAAAGTTCGGAGAAAATCTCTTTTTGGTTAGTCAAGTTTAAATCGATCGTCAAGTAAATTACTGATTTTATCTTTGATTTACAGTAGAAAACCAGAGTACATTTCTGATTAGATATTTCACATCGCAAAAACCTATAAAGTGAATTTATTAAAATACTAAAATTTAAAAAAACCTGTATATTACATCTCCTTCTTCTGGAACTGCTGCAACATTTCAACCAAATTGTATTTGAATTCATTGAAATTTATGTCCAAATTCTGATTAAGCCTAATTATTTCAAAATCTCCTAAGTCTATATTTTCTGTGTAGTTAAAACAATAGTCTTGTGGATCTCGAATTTTTATTTGCTAAAAATAATATTAAAAAAAATAATAACGATTTTCAATAAAACATAAAAAACATTTACCAGAATATCACTTATATTGTTTATAGTTATATTCAGATTACGTTCCTCTACTTCTCGATTTTTATCACAAACTTGTATTGTATGATTTTTGTCATACAAACATATTCCATCTTTATTTGACATTATCACAGTTTTTACTTTATTGCGTTTTTTTTAAATGAAGAAATCAAATTTTTAAAATCGTTGAAAATTTTAAGGTTGACAATTTTTTGAATTCAACATGACAGCATGAATTCAACCCCCACGAAAAAAAAAATCCCAAGAATTCTTGGCGTTTTCCAATGTGAACAATAAGATGAAATCGAATTGTTTACACCATTTTCGACTGATTTACAATTTTTTAATTCAGATTCACAATGAATTTGTTGAAATTTAGAGATTAGAATATTTCCTAACTTATGATTTTTATATTTAAACATGAAGATTTTGTGATTCAACTAAACGTCAGACAAGATTCATAACGGAAATTTTGTAAAAGCGAAATAAATCGAAATTATTCTGAGCTTTTCAGAAGAAGAAGAAGAAATTATCTTAAAGTTCATCGGCTTTTTGAAACAATGAATTTATGACTAATGGCACGTATTATTTACAGCCTCCTTTAAGAATAAATTTTGACATCAAATCGTGTAATAACAAAATTTTGACTTTTCGTTTTGATCCTTTTCTATGTTTCATAATGTATTGATGCAATAAAAGAAATATAGCATTTTAACAGAGATTACGTTTTTAATTTTAAAATGGTTATTTTGCAGTTAGAGGAACAGGTAAAGAAATAACATACAAGTTACAGGTTATGTTTTCATTTACATTTTTCCAGCCCCCAATAATACAAGCAATTTTTGCTGGTGCCATCGACGAAGTTAAAGAACTTATAGAGTACAAGCAGGATGTTAATTGTCTTGGTAAGTTTTCAAAAACAGCCGTTATAAAATTGGTTACTCATTGTTAATTGTAGACTGTGAGAAACGTACACCATTGCATGCCGCTGCATTTAAAGGCGAAGCAAATGTCGCAGGCCTTCTTCTCAAGAGTGGAGCCAGAGTGAATGCCAAAGACAGTAAATGGGTGACACCGTTACATAGGGCTTGTGCCGTAGAAGCCGACGAGGCTGTCGCCCTGTTATTACGTTACCAAGCTGATGTTAGCGCCAGAGACAGACTGTGGCAGACTCCTTTACATGTAGCCGCTGCCAACGATGCTTATAATTGCGTCGAACAACTTTTGAACTATGTTCCAAATCCAAATGTCACTGATAGATCTGGACGGACGGCGCTTCATCATGCCTCTTACAATGGTCATAACTATGTGGCAGAGCTTTTGATTTCTAGGGGGTGTATAATAAATGCCTGTGATAAAAAGGATTGCCGGTGTGTTTCACAGATAATGTAGAAATTTTTTGTTTATTTATATGCATTTTTTTATGTTTAGGCCTTTACATTGCGCTGTACAGATGGGACATGTACACGTCGTGGATCTTTTAATAAGAAACCAGGCTGATATTAACGCTAAAGATCGGAATCAGTACACTCCGTTACACGTAGCCGCGGCTACTGGTATAGATTCAGTCTGCAAGCTCCTGCTGGCTGCGGGGGCAGAAGTGGACGCCCAGAATTCCTACGGGAACACGCCTTTGCATATAGCCTGTCTCAACGGTCACCTCAACGTTTGCCAGGAGTTGGTCGGCGCCAGGGCGAACCTGGAAGCTACGAATTTCAGGGGTCAGAGTCCCCTGCATATCGCAGCTGCTAGTACGCACGGCGTCGACTGTCTCATGTTTCTTTTGAGGCAAAACGTTGACTTGAACAAGCAGAGCTTGGACGGGCGGACTCCGCTGCATATGACGGCGATCCACGGGAGGTTTACCAGGAGCAAAACGCTCATAGACAAAGGTAAGACTTTTAATAAAACGACATTGATTTACGAATAACACTGCTTTAAATGAACGTTATTACCTCGGTAAATCATATTTCTAGGTGCTCTCATAGACTGTGCGGACAAAAACGGGTGCACACCTCTTCACATAGCCGCGCAATACGGGCACGATCTTTTAGCGAATACGTTGCTGAGTTACGGCGCTAATCCGTCTAGAAAAGGGTAACTCGTTTTGTCGAATAAAATAAAACGTTTTCGTCAGTCGTAAAGTACGTTTCCTTCATTGTTTTTACTTTTAGGTATGAAGGGAGAACACCGCTGCATATGTGCTGTCTTTCGGGTTATGTGGAGTGTTGTAGGAAGTTCGTTCAGTCAGTTGTTGACTTGAACGATAAAGACGACACAGGGAAAACGCCGACACATTGCGCTGCGTATAAGGGGTGAGTTCAAGACGAGTCTTGTGACGTATGACAATTTAAACTAAAATAATTGGTAATTTGATTTTTTTCCTAAATGCTATATTTGTGAACTTCCAAAAATTATTTAAAAACTTTTATTGGAAGGTCGTATGAGTGCCTGGACTTGTTAGTCAGCAACAAAGCAGATTTCAAACTGACGGATAACCTTCAGCGCCTGCCTCTCCATTACGCCGCTTCCCAGGGTCATTATCAGTGCGTTTTCACGCTGGTCGGGATCGGGAGTCCCGTGAATGTACAGGACGTGGAAGGTTGCTCCCCGCTGCACCTGGCGGCGGCGTACGACCACGAGGGGAAGTGCATAGAGTATCTCTTGGATCACAAGGCGGATCCTCTCATGAGGGACAACAGAGGTAACGAGAAAAGTGTAAATTTCACGTCCCAATTAGATCGTCGTTAAAAATCGGCCGAAATTTCAAAGTTTGATTTCTCGTTAATGGTTGTTTTGATTTTGATGATCTTTTTGTTATTTATGGATTTGTTTCTTGGTAACAATGCCAAGTAATTGTTGAAATATCAGTTTGCATCATTATTATATTAGTTGAGATATCGGGATTCATTTTGATGTAAAGGGTGCATTTGAAAAAAAAAAAGATACTAAAGAGCAGAAACTTTTGAGATTATGTACTTTTTGTAGGGTTTACACCATTGCATTACGCTATAGCAGGTGGGAATGTGAACGGCAATGTTCTTGTTGGTATAATTCGATCAAGTAAAGAGAGTAGGTCAAACGAACCGAAAGGAGTGTCGGAAGGTACTCCATCAAAACCGTCGATGGAGAAGGATCCTGTGGATATTACTCCCCTACATTTGGCTGTAAGTAAAAAAAATGTATCAATGTTGATAATTTTATAGGATAGTTTCGATATGGTACACAGGGTGGTCTTTAAGTATATTCCGATAATAAAGGTTGTGATTCTACTGATCATTTTAAGGAAATGTTTTTGAGATACAGGAGAAAGTTTTTGGGAAATATCGTGTCTATTCGAACGTTTTCAAAGATGTTTAAGAACTTTTTTTCGTTGAAACGACCTAAAAATTCATCCCCGCGCGTATTTTTCCGCAGGCCAAACTGGGTAATGTCGACATTCTCAAACTGGTGGTTCCCCTGTGCGAGGACGTCAATGTCAGAACCAACCAGGGCCTAACGCCCCTGATCCTAGCGGCCCGAGAGGGCCACTCCGCCTGTGTTCACGTCTTGCTACGATTCGGTGCCAAAGTTGCCTTGGCGGACTACGTTAATAACATGACGCCCGTTCACTACAGTGCCAAAAACGGCCACTCGCAGTGCCTGACGCTGCTCCTGCACAATAGCGAGGACCAGCACGTCATCAACATGCCCGACAGGTAAGCGAGTTGTTGTAATATTAGTACTAGACAAGGCGAAATCGGCAGCTTCTTATGAAAAAATTAGTGGATTCGATTTTTTTGCATAATCACCTCCGTGAGATGTCCTTGAATGAGGATCAAAATGTTACCAGCCGGTAATCTGGTCACAATTTTTTAAACTAATTTTTTTTAAACAAATTGCAAAAATAACTTGTTTTGCTCCGGAAAAAGTTTTATTAGGTATTTCTGGGTATTCTAAACAAAATAGTTCATATGCACTATGCTCCTAAAATCAACGGTTTCTGAGTTATAAAGAATTTAATGTACGAAAAAATGCAAAAACGGCCATTTTCAAGACTCAAAAACAATAACAAAAAATCAAGTTTTTGATGTTACTAAAGTTTAAAAGTAATCTTTGAACATCTCTTGACAAAATACCAATTGAAAACTTGTAATTTTGAGTGAAAAAAAACACTTTCAAAGTATTTTTCGCACATAACTCAAAAACTACACATTTTATTAAAAAAGTGTATTGAACAGAAATGTAGCTTATAAATAAACAAAGAAAATCGTTTTTTAAAAAGTGTTGTACGTCCTATACAAAGCGAAATATGGAGAGTGGAAGGGGACTTGTTTTGGGGGGGATACTCAAATCGATGTATTCAACGTCAAATAACGGAAAAAGGATTAATTTTACGTATATAACGCTCCGGGAGTTTTTTGTACTACTCAAAAAGACCTTCAAAATGAGCACTTATAAAAGTTAATTAGAGCAAAATTGAAGGAGTTATCGTCAAGAACAGATGGGTTGCTCATATTTTTTAAGGAAAAATGGGCAGTAAACGCTCTACCATTTCCATCAGAATTAAAATTAATCGTAGACCCTTTACAATTAGTTTTGTTTTAGTGTTTTTCATACGATCCTGAAGTTAGACCGGTTTAGAATGCGTATTTTTTGAATAATGTACGGTAAAAGTTGAAAATGTATTTTTCATTATTCAAAAAAAAATTGCCTTATTTATATAATAACTCTGAAACTATGAAAGATACGTAAAAAATGATAGACCACAAAAATGTAACAAATATTTTGCTTTTTTTTATTCCTATAGCATAAAAATAAAGGAGATATCGCTTGAAGTATCTGTTTTTGTGAAAAAACGACCTGACTCGAGCCCTTCGATCCTTTTCCTTTAAAAAACGAAGGACTTAAAAGCTTTTATATGCAAACGATCTTACAGCTCTTGAAATTATCTTTAAAATGCTTTTTTGTAGGATACTATAGCTTCAAAATTAACCGAGTTATGGTAAAAAACCAATGACATTTTTTCGGAGCAAAATAGGCTTTCTCATTTTTACATATTATATATTATATTATACAAATAAAATAAGTAAAAAAATTTATTGTGATTATTTATATGCAGCGTAGCAATTTTTTTTATGATTGATTATATTTAAAAATCGATTATAATAAAAATATTTTACATTAATATTGGTAAAAGGGTAGTTTTGTAAGAGTTGAAAATGGCAATAGTAAAATATTCTTTCATAAAGGGAATTTTTATTTTAAATTATTGCACAATTATAGCATTCCAAGATTTAAAACGTAATTTTTTATCATATTTTTAGCACAGGGGTGATTTATAAGGTTTGAAAAGTGTTATGAGATACAAATTCTTTCATAAGCAATGAGGGAATTTTCATTTTAAATAATTGCACTGTTAAAGCATTCCAAGCTTTTAAATTTTTTTTATCATTTTTGTTAATACAGGAGTGGTTTTTTGGGGTTGAAAGGGAAAAATTCTTTTATTAGCTATAAGGTAACTTTTATTTTAAATAATTGCACGATTTAATTATTCCAAATCTTTAAAAAGTAATTTTTTATGAATATTTTTTGCATAGGGGTACTTTTTAAGGGTTAAATAAGGGGTCGAAAAGATCAAATATATCATAAAACATGTTCGAGAACATGGAACATTATTTAATCTTTGTGCTTGAACAACTTGAGCCTAAGACTATGCACTAAAAATCATCGAATTTTATCCGGTTTTAACGCTAAGTAAGACGTTCAAAGTTATCAACATTGCCGTCATTCACACGAGCTATCACTCGGGGTATCTACAAATCAGTGTATGCTGTTAGAAATGAGTGTTGTTTTAGAATTATTTCCGCTGTGTTGTCTATGCTTTGTATTAATTAATTCAAATCAATTAGACGATTTTGATACAATCTGTGCATTTTATTTGGTTTCAGCCAGCACAGAACCGCGTTGATGCTTGCCGTTTCGGGAAACCACATAGAATGTGTTCAGACGCTGCTGAAGTGTGGCGCCGACCCGAACATTGTCGACACTGACGAACATTCCTGTCTTTTCAGAGCGGTAAGACGCTTCTACCCGTTACGTCTTCCATAATATGCAAAACGCTTAATTCCAGGTAGTAAATGGTCAGAACAGCATAGTTCAGCTCTTGCTGTCTAGCAACGCGAAGGTAAACGCCACGGATGTTAACGGCAAGACCGTCCTACATCTCGCCGCTGCCTGCGGTCATTCCGTTTGCATGCAGATGATCATGGCCTACATGACGGAGGAGGAGGTGAGGGCCAAGGATAACCAGCAGTGTACGGCGTTGCATTGGGCTTCTTATAACGGTACGCGGTCTTTTTCGGCGAGTTTCTGTGCGCAATGACCGTTATTTTCTTTGTACAGGTCATGCAAACTGTGTCGAGTACTTGCTGGAGAAGAACATATTCAAGGACATGGAGGGGAACTCCTTTTCACCAGTTCACTGTGCCACGTAAGTTTTTTTCTACTTTGCGGTTAAAACATGTTTTACGGCACCCTAGGGCCAAAGTGGTAGGTTATTTTCAAGTATACTTGCGCTCACAGACAATTTTGTTAAAGAACTGCACATTTTCGCAACTACTTCCCCACGCATATGACATGCAGTGACACGCTTTAGCTGGAAACTGTCACATGGCGGGATTCAAGAAATAAAGATTGTTATTTGACACTTTTAAAAATAGATTTCTGCAATGTCGCCTCTTTCTTTAGATTCTCGGGATCGGACAGGTGCCTGGAATACCTGATAAACCACTTTGGGCCGCAGATCGTGCACCTGAGAGACTGCCGACAGCGCACTCCTCTGCACATAGCCGCCTTGCACGGTCACTTGGAGTGCGCCAAGTATCTGATGGACTACGGGGCGAGGGCGCAGGTTTTCGACGAAGAGAACAGGACTCCCCTAATCGCCGCCTCGCAGTTCGGACAGACGCAGGTGATAGGTAAGCCACGGCTTAAGTTTTTGGTCCTTCGAACTGGATCTGTCACATTATCCTGCTCCGTTTCAGATTTATTGCTTCTCTGCAGCATAGACCGTACCTCTTGTGATAAACTGGGCAATACCGCTTTACACTGGGCCTGCATAAAAAAGTACACCCAGACTGCCTTATTACTTTTAGAAGACGAAGAGGGGGACGCCGTTATTAGTATTACTAACAACGAGAAAAGAACGTAAGTATGATCGTTCTCTCGATAGCAGGACGTTGGTATCACGTTTTCGTTTAAGGCCCCTTCACATCGCTGCCCGGAACGGATTGGTGGAAGTCACCCGGGAGCTCCTTAAAAAGGGCGCCTCGGTCCTGGCGGTGGATAACGAGGGCCTAACGCCGGCGCTTTGCTGCGCCCCGAACAACAGCGTCGCACAATGCCTAGCCTTAATTCTACAAGCACTGCCGCAATTTTCCGAGCGACACGCGACGGACGGTGAGTTAGTTTTCGCTTTCGTATGAATTTTCTCGTCACAGCCACCCGTCCTTTCACTAGATTTCCTGAACCTCTCCCAGTTTTACCGAAACATTCACGAAATCGCCACGAGCGATATATCCCTGCAAACGGACGCGTCCCTTTTAAACGTATCCGATTTGGATTTACTCCCAAAGAAGCCTGTCAAAACAAGCGTTACGTCGACGAGTTTCAAGCAGAACTTGCTACGGGACAACGACGATTGTTTTATCCTCGAAAGCAAAGACTTTCACGAGTCTATCCGATCGGAAACGCTACCCGAGAAAGCGGGGCTGGGCCTGCACAAGTCCTACAGCGAGATGTCCATCGTTACGAGTAAAGAAACGAGAAAGCCCCAGGTCGTCGCCAAGCCGAGGCAGTGCCGGGAGTGCTTCCGTTTGCAGCACAGGTGTTCGGAATGCAGCATGCGGTTGCTTCTGAAAAAACACCTAACCGGTAGAACCAATCAGCGAGAGTTCAACGAGTTCCTCATGAGGTGCTTCTCGGAAACGTCGAGCGATTACCGGAGGGTGTTCAATAACGCCCTCGAGCAAGTCGGACGTGATCTCAATTTGTCCGATAACATACGATCGAGCGGCGTTCGGTCCGGCAGTAGTGTAGCGGAGCAACTGGCGATGCTTAACAAGAACAGAACGCTGATCGGGGGGATGAGGAGACAGACGTTGGGGATCGTCAACCGAGCGGGGAGAAGCGTCAGGAAGAGATCGTCCTGCGAGAATCTGGGCAGGCAGCAGTTTCTACAAACGTCGTCTAAATCCGATAAATCGAAAGATAAACCGTCAAGTAAAAATTGTAACGATATATTTGTCATTGATAAGAACGACCCTGTGTTAAAGGAAGTCGCCGAAGATACGAAAGCTTTATCTGACGACGTGAGAATACCAGTAAAAAATTTGTCACAGTTCCATTTGGAGACTGTACGCCTCGACAATGCTCCAAAACTCGGAACAAACCTCGCCGTTCAAAGCTTCATAATAAACGTTATAAACGACACGGGGAATATTTCGACAAACGAAGGTTTTGTATGTTCCGTTAACGAAACGGCGTCCAACGAAGAATTTCAGGAGGCGGAACCGGGCGAGTTACGCGAACCAACCACCGAGCAAACGGAAGACGTAGGAGAAACCGATACTTTGCTCACTATCGAAAAACTTAACAAAGTAGAGCGGGCGTTTTCCGATCTGGACACGATGCTCCAGGAGATGGAGATGGAGCTCGATGTCGACGATAGCGTCGCTTCAAAGAAAAAATCGAAAACCGACGTAAGCTGTGTTGTCGTTTAAATCATTTAGTAAATTTTCTGTGATTTAATGTTGTATTTTTGTACATGTAAATTTTTTTTGTTACAGAGTCAGGGACTTCACAATCTTCAATAAACAATAGCAAAATTAACGTAGCCTTAAAGTCGACTTTAGCGAACGTATCTAGTTTAAGTAGCGATGCCAAGGGTGGGTCGGATCACAGCAGCGATAACGAGTTCTATTAAATTCTTTGTTGTGCCGTACAGGGGGATAAAAGGACTAAATCTTGACATAGTTCAATTGTGAGAGTAAAATTTCAATGAAACCTAGCAATTCCAAGTCAAATTATATATAGAGTACAACTTAGATTTAACATAGTTCTTCTATTTCTCTCGGCGTCGCTCCATTGTATCGATTTATTCATTTTTTATCGAACGGGAATTGCAATAGTGTTCTTGAACAAAATTTCCTATAAAATTTACGAATATAAAGATTCTCTCGGTGCCATTTTGGAAAAAATCACATGGGACTAAATCTGTATCGTGTGGCGGTGCCTGAGGTATTAATCTCTTTATTTACCGCTAACTGACACATTGAAACGTTAATACAGGGTGTAACTATGGATGGGTGTCATATTTATAACTACCTTTGACCTTTAGTGACCTTTAGAAACACATCGTAAGTTTGTTTTCCCAAATTCTGTCTGAAAACAAAATTTCTTACATTTTTATACCCCAGTTAGGGCATATATTGTTGTTAAATTTCATCTTTCTGGATTTGTATACATGTTTTTTATATTATATTTTTTATAACAATGAAGACGCACAAACACATCATACTGTACTTAAACTACACACAACGAAGCTGTGACATATTCCGCCTTTCTCGTTTTGCAAAATTGACACTGGCCCTCTTTTTTTTTGCCTACCTAGCTGCCTGTTGTCATATCACATCAGGTGGATTGGTCACCTAAACTAGATCAATGTCACAGGTCATTGACATTGACATTCACAGACTAAACACAGTGCTTTAAGAAACTCGGAATAATTTTAAATATATTTGGAATTTACCAGGTTAGTATGTTAGCAGTGACATAAAAGAATATATTGAATTTAAGACATGGCGTGGTCTTACAAAACTGTCACCGACTTGAGTTGCACCCTGTATTTCCCAAGTTTTAGTGATATAAACATTTTCTTGGTGCCATTTTAGAAAAAATCACCCGGGGCTAAATCAGTATCGTGTGGCGGTACCTGAGGTAGCAAGCTCTCTATTTGCTGCTAATCGATACAATGGAATATAAATATATTAAAAAATTTATCCCACCAATATTACAAGTTAATAGGAAACTAATGCAGGGTGATTGTGAAATTATTTCCTCGTAGCGAGTGTGTATTTTTGTACGCATTCAAAGAGTTGTACATAATTTTTTATTAAATAATTTATTTGTACAGGTATGTAGAACTATGCAATCTCTAGCGAATTATATTAGATTTTGTAATATCGTCGAGGCGAATCTTCTTTTGAAAAATGTGGTGCTAATTTTTTTACATTTAGACTTGCGGAGAGCGGTGTTAGAAGTTGCCTATTGTATCTGTATGAGTTTCTTGTGTAATCGAGGATGGCAGATGAAGTTAAAAGACATATTAGAGTTACGTGGAATTTTTTAAAACTAGATTTGTAGGCGGTTAACATTACGTAAAAGGGCTTAATCTATAATTGTTCCAAACCAGATGTATTACTTGGTGTTATCGACTCAGGGACTTTCATATTTTCTTCGTAGATGCTGAGTTTCGTACCTATCACTTCCATCTTCATCAGTTATTCGTTTAATAAAAAGCTTTCATAAATTTTAAACTCGGATATGGTAATTTGTTTAAAAATTCGAGTTAAATAGTTCCGATTTTGATATAGGCAATTTCTATATAAAGTATTTAATATATTTTTCTAATTTTGTTTTATATACCTACGATTTTATACACATTTTGTAACATCCAGCTGAGGCTTCTATGTATTAAATTTGTCAATTTTTATGTGACTTTGATTTTTTACTAGTCTTATTTTATAGCATACATGTGCAAATTATAATTTTTTATTTTTTAACATTACACTAATCTGTCAGTTATGGAACCAAGCATATGATTGGTGCCGATAATTGAACCACTTACATCAATTATTTCAAACCGTTAATATTTGTAATTACTTTGTTTACAATTACTAAAAAAATAAATTTTTGTTAAAACTTACATGCTCTCTTTTTGTTGATAATAAATAAAAATTAAAAAAGCATATAAAAAAAATCAAAATGTGAACAGGGCTGATTTCAGTTTTAGATTTTCCAGGGTTGCTCAGGGTGAGGAAAAATTTGCCAGGTTTTCCGTAGGTTAAAATATCTTTTTATGTATTTAATGTGTCTATTCTGAACATATCTGTAATAAAATTTAGTACTCAATTTAGTGTCATACGACCCTAAGCAAATCTTTCTATAAGTTTACAAAGAATTACAGGATCTTTTTGTGAGGTTAGGTTTTCCTAACAAAGTAGTTTCAACAACTTATTTACTTGAAAAACGTATTTATTAATTTACGGAATAGGAATATAAACCTACTAGAACATGTGCTGGAAGCTATTTCGAGATATTTTTAATGTTGATATAAAAATTAAAGGTGACAGATGACACGATAAGAATTTGAAAACAGCAGAGACAAAACAGTAAAATTCCGGGACGCTGGGTCTACTTATTATCCTTGAAACTTGAACAGATTTCGTGGTCATTAACAGCGCTAACTGTTGACACTTTCTCCAACTTCTATTGCTTTCCTTTTCTAGGAATTATCGGTAATACAGTGAGTTAAATTACCTGTAGCCGGTAAAAGATGCAAGCGCCATCTAGTTGTACGCTCTACAACTATATACCTACCTACTCAATATTTGTTTTAGGTATTCTGCCGCCGCTAAATTTAAAATTACATAACAAATCTCACCCTACACAGATCACTCAGAAATTGATTTTGTAAAATAATTTTCACGTAGATAATTTTTTTTTGTCACCATGAAAAAATAAGTACATTTGATAAAAAGCATTAAAATCACTCAAGCATTAAAGTCACTTTTAAATGCTCTAATAGTCTTCCTACTTAAAATAAGAAATAATTTTGATACTGTAACTTTTTAAAATGTTTGTTGAAAAAATTTCAAATTTCAGTACATATTTTGAAAAAAAGAGAGTGAAAATGATTATAGAGTTTCAGTGCTTTTTATATTGTATTAGCTTTCACGGTGAATAAAAAAATATTACAAGTAAATAATTTTACTAAACCAATCTTTGATTAATTCTTGTAATAGAGATTTATTATGCAACTTTAAATTTTTTGTTGTGTTGATATCCATAAAAAAAACTACCTACCTCTGATCACGTTTTATTAAAAAAAAACAAAAAAACGTTTTATTATTAATAAAAAAATGTGATTATATGATGATCAGACATTATTATGTTATATAAATAAATGTGAATGAAATATCTAATAAAACACACTGAAAACACAAATAAAACACACCAACACTCGCCAAACCTAACCAACAATAAACAATAAACATGAACAAGAATGACATGAAATGATTCATAATTGCAATTGTCAAAATTTATTCTACAAAATCTTTGTGGCGACATCTATAGACTCTTTCCCCAACTTGTATATCCATCTCAAGTCACGTGGTTCCCAGTGTTTCCCCATTTTTTCAAGTATAAGTTCTCGGGCCCTGCTTATCATTTATCTAGGGTCTACTTGTCTACTAAAGTCATAGACAGAGACAGAAAACTAAACAACAGTCGACTAAAATATTCGAGTTAGTGTATCTACTCTGAAGAAGAAGACGAACTGATTCCTTGTTTTAATAGTTCAAATCAATTGTATTATATTTGATCTACTACCATATAATGTCAAAATTTGGAATATATTTTCAATAAGTCAAATATATATTTATTTCTAGTCTAGATAGAGTTCTTTATTTACACTAGTGACCAATAGTAGTCATAGTTTGATTGAATTAAAGTAGCAACTTAAATGAAAAAATGGAGGATGTATCAAATGTGTATTTAACCGATTTTATCCCTTCAATATACACGTCTCCGTGTACTATGCACTACACACAAAACGGCAAGGAGAGGAAATGGGACATATTCGCAGAACGCAATGGAGTAATCATTTTATACAACAAAACGAGAGACGTATTGATCCTAGTCAAACAATTCAGAGCCTCGGTTTATTTACACAAAATACCGGAAAAGGACAGGAAGGGTCACATCGATGTCCACAAGTATCCCCCAAAGCTAGGAGTGACCTTAGAGTGGTGTGCAGGACTCGAGGATAAGGAGATTTCGACCGAGGAAGTCGCACAGGAGGAGATATTAGAAGAGTGCGGGTACAGAGTAAAGCTAAACCAATTGGAGAAAATAGGAACTATTAAAAACTTGTCAGTTACTACCGGGGCGAGATCCACCTTCTACTACTGTGAGGTTACCGACGATATGATCCATAACGAAGGGGGAGGCGAGGATGGTGAAAACGTGGAGGTTATAGAAATGCCGGTAAAGGACGTTATAAAATATGCTAGTAACAAGGAGTACGTTGGTTCGCCGATTAATTTTATGTACGGTTTGTACTGGTTTTTGTACAATAAATACAATAAAACGTAGTATTAAGGATTGTGATTTTGTAACGGTTGCTCATACAAATTTTATTTACATTCTACTTTTAAAGTAAATTTAACTTTTAACTAAAAGTTTATTATTGTAAACCTTCTTTCTAGAGTTTTGAATGCCACACGAACACTTAACGCTGTTTTCAAAAGGGTAGGGTAGAAATAAAAGAGACATTTGTGGAATACAATTAAATATATTTATCAGATTAAATTCTGTGGAAAACTTGAGGCACTACCTGTTTAAAATTTCCGAAAATGCACAACAACATCATGTACAAGTACAAAATAAAAAATCTATGCAAATCAACAGAGCTACTATAAAATTTTACGATTAAAGTCATATTGAATTATATAAAAATGAGTAAGACTCTGTGTTTACTTGTAAGATTCAATGGTCTGCTTGAGTTTGTCGTAATTGGCGCCGCTGAATGTGGTGACCACCGCCTTGTTCTTGATAAACACAAAAGTGGGCATGGAGGAGATGTTGTACTCCATGGCGATGTCCTCGCACTCGTCTACGTCAACCTGTAAGACGAAAAGACATTCAGCTCCATAACAAACTGATAAAATGTTCGATATTAACTTTGAAAGTTAATCCCTCCCCAACAAAATATGACTCAGGTTCTGTCCGCAATCTCCAGTTGAATTAAAAATCAGTGTCGTATAAATTTTGCCATTTGTTAGAGGAATTTTCCAAGTCAATGATTTTTTCCGATTTTAAATGAATTTTGAAGTTCTACAGGCTGTTACAAATTTGCTTCTTACTACAGGGATCTTGAAAACGGTAAGAGATACAAACTAGCTTAAATGGGGCAAAATTGCGTAATCAGGGGCCCAACATTTGAAAAAAAACGAAATTTTGTAATTCCGTTTCAAATATTTCGAAAACTAATCATGTTAGCCTTGATTTTTTAGAGGCATAATATTGGTGCCCTGATTACGCAACATTGCCCCCATTTAAGGTACTTCGTACCTCTTACCGTTTCCGAGATCCTTGTAGTGAGAAACGAATTTGTAACAGCCTGTATAATTGCAAAATTGCATTTCTAGAAAAAATCATTGACGTTTGACATTTTAATACGTTCTATTTAAAAATACATTTTTGATTAAAAAAAATCTATAAACGTGGAAAAGTAGTTCCAGTTATTTTAAATTCAATTAAAATGCTTGATAATGGCAAAGTAAATAAAAGATTAATTCGTTTTTAAGATATGATAAAAAGTTATTTTTTCTTAGAAACGCTACTGGGAATTAAAAGTGTCGATTGAATTTCCCGGATATCTAACGGCGATGAATTCCTGTGGTTTTTAGAGATAGCGGCTCACCATATCTTTGCTACTGGTTGAAATATCTATCGTACCAATCTGGTGCTGGGTTTTCCCTTTCGATTAAATAATTTTCATCACTCTGCACATGTTTTCTATTTCGAGGACCAGCAAATAATCGAGTAAGGGCCGATTTTTCCACCTAATATGTGTCGAATAAAGCTTACATGTAAAAGTGATAGACACAGACTTAATTGACAGACAAAGAAGAACTGACCATTGCAACGGAAAATAGTGGTCCTTTTTCGGAGTTACCACTCGTTTATAAACAGGTATACATGCCTTGGTTTACCAAAGTTTAGAGTAAAACTAGTGCTTCCTACAACCTGTGTCAAAATTAAGTGGAATTTATTATTTGTTGCGTAAAAACGAGAATTTTTAAGCTGATGCTACAAAAACTTACTAAATTAATAAGAAATTTTTAAATTTTGCCATTTTTAATGAATAACATACGTAAAATAACAATTTTCTAAAACTATACAAATACTTTACATTGGGCTTTGGCTTCAAGAAATTTTAAGTTCAAATTTACAATCTCAATCTCTCCACAAGCCTGGAAAGATTTTAGTTTATTTTCACTTTTTCACATAAAACATCTATTAAAGTACAAAATTCTTAGTGTGGTGATGTTAGGAGACTAGAATGCTCCCGTACTGCTCCCTTTTGCTTCGGAACAAAAAGGTGTATTATAAAATACAAAAGAATTGTAATAAAAATTGTAGAATTGCTACTTCAGTTTCGAACAAGACATTCGAAACTCAAAAACAGAGCAATTCAGTTTATCTGGCAAGGTGTCTGAACAGTAAACAAATCGTTATTGCAAACTGGAATTCTCCTTGCCGGCGTATTTGAATTTTCCACGTAGAGTATCAATGAAAGTACGATTTATTCGTTATGTTAGCCAATAAAAGTTAAACGACTGAGATTGAATTTCACCTTGAGAATGAGGATGTTGGTGTATTCCTTGGAGAGCTCCTCCAGCTTGGGGGAAATCATTTTGCAGGGTCCGCACCAAGTAGCGAAGAAGTCGATGACGACCAGTTGGGCTCCAGCATCGGTAAGTTTGCTGTCAAGGTCAGACTGTAATAATAAACAACTCTCATCAGTAAAATCTTCTCAACTTTTAGCAAACAATATATTTTAGCACTTTTTCACAGGGGCTTTATTTTTTTAAGAAGCCGTTATTGGATTAAAACATTTAAGACCTTATAAACTACCAAAATAAATAAAGTTCTTAGGAATTGATAAAGTACCACAACCAACTGCCATTTTGTGGAAAAAATTGTATTTTTATGTAATTAATTAATATCCACTTATTTTCAATAATTCCTTACACAACACCACCAATATTTATTTAGTTAGACCATTATTTTATTATTTTTACCTTCTTTTGCTAAATTGTAATCGATACGGGAATTACAACATATTGGCCTCATGAATCTGTTAAACAATTTCTTGGGATTGAATTGCTCGTACTTCAGCCGCTTCAGCTAGTATTTGTTACAATTTTTAGGTTAGAATTTTAGGATTCGAACCAAATGCGCAAATCGAATCACAAAAATTTTACGATTCAGAAATTAAAGTATTTTGCCGATCCTGATCTAAAAATATGTTCAAAAGAATAGCGGCAGATCCCAAAACAACCGGTGAAGCAGGTTATGATCAATGCATTTGGATGAAAAGAAGGCGGCTAAAATCAACTGATCAAAGTATGAGAAAATTAATTACGTAAAAATAGAGATTTAAACATATATTTCAAGGTTGGCTATAGGGATTTTGTCCCAAAATGGCGGTTGATTGCGGTACTTTATCAATATCTAAGGATTTTACTAAAAATAAAATTATTGTTAAGTCGCAGAACTACAAGTATTTGGATAGTAGGTATCTACATGTAAATTTATCGACGTTTGATATTATATTTGCATTCAAAATTGCAAAAAAAGTTTTTTTTAAAAGTGTAATGAACACGTATGTCAATACATATAGTTCTTTCAAGAACCGAGAGATGGCGTATTGCTTATTAACCAAATAAATGTTTAAACTGGTACAATCTTACAGATTCAATAGCTGTATTTGTTTTACCACTTAGTTAGTTCAGTTTGGTTAAGTTGACCAAATTAGAAGTGACCGTGATTTGAACAAACTCTAGGTTAAACAAAACATACATCTACTCCATTTTAAATTTTGACATTTGACGTTTGTTCAATTTCAGTTTAATTACGTTGTAATTGACAATCATACTGTGCCCAACATACTTACAATCAACATATCTTCTTCGGATGAATCCATATCCATTATCAACGGCTTATTTTTGTTATTTAGATTTATGATTATTATTATTTGTAGGTTATCTTTTGTTCGGTTATCTTGTTCACTTACTAACCACGATATTAGGCTCGGTTAGATCGGAAAGGGGGGAACTGATCTTGGTTATATTTTGGTTTGTTCACTTGTTTAAAAAAAACAAACTTGGTCAAGTGTACTGAAAATGAATTAACCAAAGTGACCAAGTGTGTAAAACAAATACAACTAATAAGTTTGTAACTTCTTGGTCAAATTAAGGGTACCACTTTTAGAAAAAACATTCGTGTCAAAATTGTAAATTGTAACAAAATTGGTAAATCAATATCTATGAATTGTATTAAACATAAATAATACGAGTTGTTGATATCAAATAAGGAAAATTGTTTACCTGTAATCAAGTTTTTTTTATGTGAAATCAAGAATAAAACTGTAGAATGGCAGTTCTCTAATTTTTATTGCATAATAAACAATAAAAATAAAAAAACTACTATGCATATTTTATAGCAAGGTGTCTGAACAGCTAAAAAATTAATTTTTTAAGCTGGAATTCTCCTTGCAAGAAATTACGGTAAAAGGAGGCCCTTAATAATAAATTTACAAGATGAAGTTTGTCTAAAAGATAAATGACACACGCGTTGATTAATTTTTAGCGCAACAAAAGAGTAATACCAGATATTTTTCGTGTTCAATATTCGTATGACGGTGTTTGAGGGAAAATAATTATGACACACGGATGACCTCATGTTATTGAACTATTTTCAAACCATTTCTTCGGAATTTTACATACTTTAAATGATTCATAATTTAACTGCACCCAAGGATCGAATTATTTGGTTAATAAACGATATGTCGTTGAAAATTGCATTTTATAGACTTCATTGTTACTAAAACCGAGAATTCGACATTACGTGTACACTTTTCATGCATCGAAGGATAATCACATGCAATATAATGACGGCATGGCATGCAACTTGGTGTCACTCGGTATCGATCTACATTAATATTTCAATTTCTGCACCTGATTGAAATCTAACGCTAGTTCCATCAAACGACATACCGCCAGGCATATTTCTAGATCTTTTACTGGTCCTGGTGCGATTTAAATCTCCACGAAGTGTGCCCCCGCAAAAAATGAAACGCATCCGAAACAATCGATTAAAAAAAAGTGTGGCGCCCACTCAGATAGGTCACCGTGGAATCCGTTGTTATAATATATCGCAGTCACTTATGGGAATTAAATGCCAACACGCGATCTCGGAATCGTAAATAAAACACGTCCAATTTTAATGATGCCCAACCGTTGGTAGATCTTTTTTTGCTATTCCTTTGTACCATAAATTATTAAAAATAATACTTTAAACTCGCTGGATGATGATAACTTTCGAGACGCCACGTTATCTGTTTGTTTTTATATAATCGTCGAGATAATAAACCGAGAGTCATTGGCGTAACTAATTCACGGAAAAAGGTACGATGAATTATACATTATACTAGGTATACGAGAGTAGTTTTTTGTAATTCTAGAATTTCCTCTGTCGCGAAATTAAATTTAGCGAGACGTTATCACTTTTAAGTGCATTTATCCTTGATGAAAGTGCACTGTAATCCCCGTTCAACGACTTCCACCGATTTATTTACTTATCTAAAGTATTTCTGGAGGAAAAATATCAAAATGCATAAAATGACTTTATTTATTTGAGGCCAAATCACAGAAAAATAATAAACACATCCGCAAAAACTGCAACTGGATATATCGAGATTTTCGTTTGCTGGAAATTCTAATTTTAATAACCTAAAGTGAATATAGCCAATATTTTTTTTGTAGCATAGAACTGAAGAGGAAAAATAATTCAAAGTTACGCGTACGATGATTTCCTTCACTTTTTTCTTTCTCAATAAAATTCGGGCGGACAGTTACAAGCAAATGTATTGAAATTACCTCATATTACGTCTAACTAGCAATTAAATTGAATTAACTGACAGAACAAACCATTTTTTTACATACAGGGTGTCCCAAAAATACCTAAACCCCGCGGTATCTTTCAAACATCGAGTTTAATAAAAAAAGTTTCATACAAAAGTTGTAGTAGGGATATCAAGAAGTCAATACGCTACCGGTGACTTTGGATTTAACCTTGTTCTTAAGCTTCAAGGTCAAATCAAGGTCGACTTGACAATATTAAACAGAGTCTATTTTTTATGCCAGCAGTGGACACAGTGCCAAATTTGTCCGAACGACTCGACAAAAATGTTTCAAGCTGAATTTGTACGATTTTGAATGACAAATTAGATATTGACCTTGGACTTGCCCTTAACTACAAGTTTCAAGGCCAAATTAACATCAAATCGAATAGCTGCTTTTTATGCATACAACACCAAGTCTTATGTCGGAATCTGAGATCAAAGAATTTTTCTATGATGTCCTTGAAAGTCATTTTAAGTCAAACTCATTTCCCCACAATAAATAATGGATATAAAAGTATACAATAATTTAATAGACATATTCACCCAATTTCGTATTATTGAGAATATATTATTTTTGCAAAGCGAAATAAAATTCTGTTAATTATTCTCGAATTATTTATTTATCGATTTGCATTTGTTTTTAATTCATGTCAAAATTTTGAGTATTTAACATAGGTCCTTATGGGAAATGCTACGATGCAGGACTGCCAACGTATAAAAATAATAAACTCAGCATCTCCGTGCTCTGTTGCCAAGTTTCTGTTGCAACTTTTGGCATTTATTTATGCGTATTGGTTAAAAAATAATAATTGAGGGATGGAAATATATAATTTTAAGTATTGTAAACTCGATTTTATTCAATATCTACAAGCAAGTATCTCAATATATTAATTTTCTAGTCATGAAGAATATTTTTCTTTGCACTGACAGCAATGATTGGTGCTCTGAAATAAGGTTACTAGGTACAGCAAATTTATTTCTATGTGCAGCAGATCGACCAAATGGTATAAGTAAAAAATATTTATATTTATTCAATTTTATCTTCACTTGGTGACTTATTTTTATAATTTAAATGGATGACACATAATTATAAAAAAAAACTTAGCTTCACTAGTCTAAGTTTAAATTCCATATAAAGTTAGGTTAGGTTATACACCCTGTATATTTAATACATGAACGTAGGAACATCCTAGAAAAATTCTTTGATTTCGGATTCCGACACGAATTTGACGCTCTGTCGATTGTAGGCATAAAAAATAGCGTGTTCGAAGCGTTCGGGTTTTTTGGGACACCCTGTATGTCTGATTTCGACAAACCTTACAGTACAAGCGCGCAGATCATAACGTTTCCCAAAGAAGAAAACATTGACTTATATCTAGATACATACATTTTTTGAGGCAATTTTTTTTTTCTACCTAGACAGACTCCCTCGCGAAGCGACATTCTGTCTACAAAGCAATAAAAAGTGGGATCGATAGCCGGCCCAAGTTCCTGGAGAACGCTCAAAATGGGGTCATAAAAAGGAACAGATGAAGATAGAAAGAGGAGAACGGAAAATCCTACGCAGTCTTAAGAAAAATAAATAAGCAAATACAAAATTGATACGTTTTTCCTCAAAATAGGCAAGCCTCAGTACCTCAAGTTTAATCCGCTTGATTTTAAGTACATTTTATCGCTTAATTTAAAGCGGTACAAGTCCTGTTCATGTGATAACGGTGGGGCCAACCTTTGTTTATTTGTCGATACAAATAATTAGTCGATAATAGCGGCACCGCCAGTCTAGGAAAAAATTATCTAGAATCACCTGTTAATGATGTATTATTGTTATTTACAAATCACTTAATATTTCATATTGATAAAGGATATTGTACCGGGAGATATCGGAATCTAATATACGATAGTCAAACACAGAAACGTAATATGTTTTTTAGCGCAACAAATAATTTTTTCCAAAACGGTTATCTTTATCTAATCATCGTTTGAGATTGCTACCAAAACCCGTTTAACAAACTTGAAAAACAACAAGCGATAGTGTTGTAGGTAATTCCGTATTGCGGCAGCTGCGTCACGACCACGGCCTGCCGAGATTACTAATAGAAAAACATTTATGAACAACTGATCATAAAACAGAAGATGCATCTACGTCTACCGACATACGCGAAGGATAATAGTTATATTAGTTTTATACTTAAAAATAAATTCCGAGCATTGTTTTTTGTTTATTATTCTCCACAAACATGTTTTCACGATCCCTGGGATTCCCAATGCACAAAGACAAGCATTAAAACGTGCAAGTTTGCTATTAATAAAATTCAAAGAAATTTGCTGATTACATTTCAAAACGACACAGTTGCGCACCTCTACCAGCAAGTAAACTCACACCCTGTACAGCTAGAGATGTTTAACGTCATTAATATTCCGCTTAATATAAGTTTTTGTAATAATTATTATTATGAATGACGTAAGACGCACAATAATTGTACCTAATCGCATCTATTTTACATTGATGTAAGGCAAGGTGAGACCGGCAGAAAAAATGCTTACGCCAATGATCATTTTAAGTATATCAGCTCAATATTAATCATCTGAAGTGCCTTCGTAACCCGTAACCCGCCCCTGCCTGACTGTAACGTATTTTATGCTGGTTATATTTTGAGAGGTTATATTTTTCAAACTAGCAACCTTTATCTTGCTTCTTATCTTTGAACCAGGAAAACATTTGGTATTATCTAAAAAGATGAAAGGTGCGCTAGTCTTTATATAGATTAGGTAAGTATATGTAGATATGTACGTGTGTACAGATGAGTGCACATTAAAAAAAATTGCGTTTTGTTAAAACGTTGTACCTACATGATTAGCGCAACTAAAAATTGCGTGATGTCGATAAATAAAGCTGTATAAATACTATTAACGAGACAGTAAACCAGAACAAGCCGAGTGGTAACATTCCTGGAAGAGCAATAACGTTATACCTCGTCTCACAGTTTTGGCGGTTCTAAATCGCAAATATTTAAAAACAACCAAAAAACGCTGGAAAAGTTATCACCTACATCCAAAATCGTACGGTGAAGTAACTTGTCCTCGTACAAATATTACAAAACAGTTAGGTCACTGCATAGGCATGCAACAAAAATTAATGAATGACATTGATACTTTCAACGCGGTTCTTTCTAATATTTCGCCTACCGAACACAAACACGAAATGAATAAATACTAGATTTCGTATTAACTAATGTTCGGTTGTGTAAAGTTGTAGTAACCACCACAACATTAAAAATATGTGTCGAAAACGTGTTCGCACCACACCTCTAATTCAAGATTCCGAAAAGCCGGAAGGTAAACCAACATTTGTCCTGAACCCTACTTAATATCATGCTTCGAAAACTCTTACATACCTTGTCTTTGATTGTGACGACCATTTCGACTGTTCTCACGTAGTTTTACTCTACACACGCCACAGAATACTGAGCCGAATTTTGATCAAATCTTGAATTGACAAGGAAAATATGACACTGAATCACAATGAAAATGATTTGGCATAAAATTTATACGCGTCGTATGGCCGTCTCTGTCTTTCCTACTGGGTTCGCAGAGCGCGCATGCCTCGTTGGTAGACGCAGCCCTGTATTTTAAGAATGAACGTGAGCCGCTGTTTCTGTCTTCGTCTGGTGAAGGAAAAGGAAAGAGGTACGCGCGTGGCGGAATTTAATTCATACACGTTAGGCCACGTAATGCTTGAGTGTAAGCAAGGTTACTACACTACAGAGGTGTGCTCATTGAAATTTACGCATTTTCTACGTTTACATAAATGATATAAATAGTGTTCAAAAAGTCAGCCATCTTAAGTATGTAGAGTCTAAACGTGAATGTAATCTTAAATATAATGTCCATAGAATGATTTGGTGGAAAGGAATCGTATTTATATAATAGCTTTACCTTTATTACCCATACCTTGACTTAAATACAAGATGAAAAGGTTGAAGAATTCCAGATAATATAAATTAAAAATGTAAATGATAATGTGCAATGTGGGGAGTTTATTGCGAAATGTTGATTAATAAATAATTATAATTTTAAAAATCAATGCTTTAGTTAAAATGAAATGCGTGAATTATTTTTAAAAGTATTTTACCACATTTAAATCCATTCTACTGCATTCTGTTGCATTTGCGTCATCAGATTTTAGTAAACGAATGAACTAATAGGGATGTCCTTTCTTGAAATTTTATAATTAGGTACCTATATGGTATATTGTTTATTAAGTGCAATGACAGCACGGCAAACGCCAAGTTTTTACTTTAGAGGGTATTAGTTAATTCAATAACATCTTTTAACGCTCTTAAATTTATGAAATAATTTTTTAAAGGTACTAGTTAAGAAATTATTCTTGTATTGGAATGTAATGGTACTTAGTCACTGTAAATTGATCTGGTTCTAACATGTAGACATACAGTTTTTCATTAAACGTAACAAATTAAACAATCATGTAGTTTAAGTAAGCATTAGCCCTGTTATTTATAACTTTTTATTATTTATTCGAATTTCAGAATCGATATCGTCACCATGGCAACACATACCCGCCTTTAACGGTGTAGTACAAACAATTATACCTATTTTCATTACCAAAGTGTCGCGGTGACAAATTTTACATACGAAGTGTTGTCAAAAATAATATTTGCCTCAAGAATATTCCACGATGCCCGAACTGGGCGAACAAATGTACTGCTCCGAGCAGATTTGCATCCCACCCGCATTTCCTTACCTCCTGAGGCAATTCGCGAAAGCTGCCATAAGGACACAACCCTCGGATCTGCTAAGGTAGGTGACAATTTCGGTGTCGGTTCAAAAAAACTCGGAACCTCCTAAATTGCTATGTAGTATCCAAACGCTTAACTCAATGTATGTTGTGTTGCCTACCCCGGCATTCGCTCGTTTGTTTCCAGATGGTCCACGGCCTACTTCCGTTGCTTGTCACTCAACATCCCTCCACCCGTAAAACCTAGGCTGGAATATCCCATACCACGCGACTACTGCGGGGTGACACCAGGCTGGTTGAAGGCCCTCATGTACCAGCTGCAGAACAACCTGACGATCTCCTTTAAAATACTTTGGGACAGGTGGACCGGCGCCTGTTTGGAGCACAGTACGCTCATCCAGATCTTGTGTCTAGGCGGGTTCACCGATCCCGAAGCCATACCCTGGTTCAGGTTCATAGGTCTCTGTGCTGCACATTTGACAGATGTGAGTATGGATATTTGACGTTTCGGCAGCTTGAACTTAGGTTCTTGGAAAATTAGAATGTATTTTATAAACTGAAACCCTGTTTCGGGTAACAAACTATCATAGTATCCGTGTAGATGTCGCTAGTCGCTACATAAAATAGAATAGAATAGAATAGAATTAACTTTATTGACATTTATGTACATTAAATGGTACATTTATAGTCACAACATAGGCTGAGTAGTTATAAATGTTAAAAATTCATCGACAGTATAAAAACAATGGCTCAAAAGGAAAGATTTCGTAAACCTGTGAAAGGTTTTTTGAGACATGTTTTTTATACGTTTTCGTCTACAAAAATTATCAAACTTGTTGAACAAACTGATAGTAAGTTTGTTACGTTGAGTTACATTAATACGCGAATAAGATTCAACCAAATTTCCAGCATGCCTGGTGTTGTATTGATGTATATCAGCATGAGATTGCAAATTACACAAATTAGAATGAACAAGTTGAAGCGACTCAAGTAGATAAAGGCAGGTCAGTGGTAGAATCTTATACCTGACAAATATCTCCCTGCTGGGAGCTAACCTAGGGACACCAGCAAGCAGACGAACAGCTGCTTTTTGCAATACAAAAACTCTATATGAACCACTAGAGTTGCCCCACAATGGCACACCATAGGTTAAATTACTCTGTATTAATGAGAAGTAAACCATTTTCATTACATTATTAGTGACAAATGATCTTATTTGTCTCATAAAGAATATCTGCGTAGCTAGTTTTGAACATAGTTTATTGATATGAGGTGTCCAAGTTAAACCGGGGTCAAGGGTAATACCAAGCAAATTAACTGGTTCAGACTTCTCTGAATTTTTACTAGTTGTAAAAGTTATGAAGTTTGTTTTACTGATATTTAATTTTAGATTATTTGCCGAAAACCAGGTATTAGCGAGGTTTAGACTGTCTCTGCTGTTCTTATCACGGGTTAACAAAGTTGTATCATCTGCAAAGAGTGTACAAGAAGCATTACGAATGTTAACAGGTAAGTCATTGATATAGATAAGGAATAGTATGGGCCCTAAAACCGAACCTTGAGGTACACCAGCCTTAACCTGTATTAAAGCAGATTCACAGTCATTTAGACACACATATTGCCGTCTGTCAGTCAAGTATGATTGGAACAATTGCAATGCTTTGCCACGAATTCCATAATATTCCAATTTTAGAAGCAATATTTCTAAATTTACGCAGTCAAAAGCCTTAGACAAATCACACATTATTGCATGTGTGGGATTACCTTGATCAAATCCCTCAACTATTTGATCTAATATAGCTAATAAGGCTTTGATAGTAGAATGATTTTTCCTAAATCCAAATTGAGAAGGTGTCAATATGGATTTAGTTTCAAGATATGAGATCAATTTTTCTTTAATTAAAATTTCAAATATTTTAGAAATAACAGGAACAATGGATATTGGTCTATAGTTGTCAAGTTTATCAATGTCCCCTTTTTTATGAATAGGAAGTACTTTAGTTATTTTAAGACAGTCAGGCCAAACCGCCTCATTTAAAAACTTATTGAATAATATGGTCAAAGGTGCAACAAGAAACTCAAGTGAGGTTTTTACCATGAGACTACTAATTCCATAATAATCCAAAGAGCTGGTATTTTTCAATTTCAAAATAGCCTGGCGTACATCTGACTCGATAATAGCAGAAGCAAAAAAAGATGATGATATTTTAGGCAAATTGTGGAGGAATGTGGCGGGATTTACGCCTTGATTTCCAATCGACTTGGCAACAATATCTGAAACAGTGGCAAAAAAACTGTTAAACTCCTGAGCACAAAAATTTGAAACATTAGAGTGGCATTTTATGGATCTTTCTGAATTCACAATTTTCCATACAGCTTTATTTGTGTTATTGGCATTACAGATAATATTGCTGTAACAGGTACGTTTTGCCTCTTTTATAGCACGTGTATATAATCTTTTGCTTTCACGATAGGTTACCCAATCGCTCTCTGAACCAGTCTCATTAAACCTACTTTTATTTCTATTGAGTGTTTTCCTCAAAGTTTTCAGTTCCCTGTTATACCATTTGATGTCAGATGATGTATATTTCAATTTGTACGGAAAACAATTATCCACAATGTTTACATATTTATTTAAAAAAGTATTCATTAAATAGTTTGCATTCAAATTACTATATTGAATATCAGACCAATTTAGTGTTTCTAAATTTTCTAGAAATACATTACATTTCATCGTATCAATCACTCGAGTACGGTATGAACCCTTGGGTACTTTTTTATGTTCTTCTTCTACACAAATATATACTGACAAATGATCGGCTATATGTGTGTCCAATACTCCCGTTGAAAGAGAAGCAGAATTGATGTTAGTAATTACATTATCTAATTTTGATTTACTGTGAAGCGTAACTCTAGTAGGTTCATGTATAAAATGCTGTAAACCATACGTTGTAAATATATTACACAAATCAATAATATACTTTGTGCCGGCATCAAGGTCCAAATTGATGTCTCCAATAATAATAAGAAATTTAAATCTACTTGAGTAAAAGTCAATTAAATTATGTATAAAAGACTTAAATATAGAAAGGTTTCCTTTTGCAGGCGATCTATAAGCAGTCACTAAAAGGCAATTTGCAGAAATAATTTCAGCAGCACAAAATTCTGCATGAAAGGTATTACAAAAATTAGAAACATCAACATTTCTTAACTGAATTTTTGAAGATAAAGATACAAATATGGCTACGCCTCCATGTTTATTGGAGCCTACACGAGAAAAGCTAGATATTAACTGAAAATTAGGAATATATATTGAATTTAACAAATCATACTCTAGCCAGTGCTCTGATATACATAGAATATCGAAATGATTACTAGCTAAAAATATCTGAAGTTCATCAATTTTGTTAGATAAACTTTGAGCATTGATATGTAGCACAGAGTACTTACAATCCAGGTCAATATTAGACATTTTGAGATGCTGTAGTGGACATGCTTCCTCCATTACTCCTTGAACCTTTTGAGGGAAAAAACCTATTCAACACAACCCCGCTAGGCCAAATCCTGATGTCAGTAACTGCAGAAGACTCCTCCATGGGTAGGGATAATTTGAAGGAAGAATACCTTGTAGGGTTCTTGCTGTTTAGCTTTTCCACCTTTATGTTTGGAGCAAAACTTTTTAAATAGTTCAGCAACTCGTCCCGGTCAGTGGTAACGTCCAAATTGGTCACATGATAGTCGAACATGCGAATCGATGTAGGGGTCGCTGCTGCTTTAAATGGGCATTGCAATAAGTTTTTCTGATTACCTACGAGTATACTTCTGGTATTAGGTCTAGGTCTGGGTTTAACTTCCCTATTAATACCCCTTTCCATATTAATTAGCGAATCACAAACATTACGAGCATGAGCGTTGTGGAGTGCATTCGATACTGTTCTTTTACTAATTTTTGTACTGCTCTGAAATGCAGTGTGGGCAGTATTGTTGTCAGTTGTAATGTCGTTACGTTCATTTGAAGACTGGGAAGATGTATTAGGTTTACCCTCTTTAAGTAAATCGACCTGCTCCGTAAGGGATTTAATTGCGATGTTTTGATTGAGAATAATTTGGTCCTTTTGGCGAATAATTTCCTCCAAATAAGAAATTTTAAGTGTTATTATGTCTAAAGCGTCAGTCACAGATAGAGCATTGTCCGACGCATCATTATTGCCAGCTACTGCCGCCTGCTCATGTGAACTTATCTGTTCCTCAATCAGATCCGCACAACATACTACCTTGTCGTCCTCGAGGAATTTTACGTTTATTTTCCTTAGATGATCAAAATGATCAAAAGGACGAACTAATCGCCCTGTGCATGTGTGAACGCATGTTTCTGGGCTAGATACAGAACATTGTCTCCATTTCTTTCAGATTAACAATCTAGAAGGCCTTAGAAATGCCTGAAGATTAAAAATTAGTTAATTTCTGATACTGACTGAAAAATAACCATAATAATTTTGCCATTCATTCAACTTGCTCTTGTAATTTCCATAAAATTAACATCAATTTTAGAGAGGTGTCTTAGTGAACTACACTGTATATGCTTTTTGTAGGATTTGACGCACACCATGATCCTAATTTGTGAGATCATGACGGAAGAGCCAGACGGAGGGTCTGCCATGGTTCCCTTGGAAACCTTCACCGATTTGTACAAGTTTTTGGCGGCGATAGACGCTTCGAAGCCCCAGGTGCTGAAAAACTACTACTTCACTGACGCCCTCTTGACCCTGTGGAAGGAAGCTGCCGAGAAAGAAGAGGGACAAGGGAGGGAGGTTAAGGAGGAAAGCATAAGCGAGGAAGAAAGGTAAGAAGGTTGACCCTAAATGAAGATAACTACAGGGTGTTCCAGCTAAGAAGGATTCTTCTGTAACTCTGTAACTGTAAAATTGATGAAAAAATGGTTTTAATAAAAGTTGTCTGGAATCATGTGGGCCATGTAAAGAAAATATATTTAGCTTTACAGGGTGTTCCATTTCGCGTGGGCACTGCATAACTTTGTTATTTTAAATGGAACACCCCGTATATTATTGCGTTTTTGAATTCCTTGGTTAATATTAGGTAGAGTTTATTAAATGTACATAGTGTTTAAAACTTACCGTTTTCGAGATAATCAGTTGTTTTGGAAAAAAAATCACGATTTCATCTCTCTAAATGAGGCTAGATAGCGTCTAAACCACAAGAGTTAGAAACCTGCAGTTTTCACAGATCGTTTTGGTACAAATTACTCTATCTTGTCATCTGTGAGTAAAACGTGTACGTTATTCAGACTCTGAAATACTGAGACCTACATTTAATAATCTTACGAGTTGAAACGAGGCATTTTGACGCTGTTACTCAGCTACTTTTTCGGACTTTAGAAAAGAACTTGATTTTTCTGGAAAACTGTTAAAGATAAATATGGACAACCTTATATCAGTCGAAAGGACATTCAATTTTGCATTCACCCATGACAGAAGATACAGCGTGGAAAAAAAGTTCCGCATAAAATTCATATTTTCGTTAAACAATTTTTTTTTTTCGAAAAACGGTGAGACCCGTCGATTTTTATTTGATCCAGGGCACCTTGTTATGTGTAATTTTTTTTTCCATAATCCACTTACGGCAGCGATGACATAATTTTTTTTTTAATGAAAACGCATTTTTTTTTCGTTCGAAGTTGATGACAATGATAATTATCTAAACAACGGTGTGAAAATTTCGATGTCTTACATAACAATTTTTTTTAGAAAAATGCACCTTAATTTCTTATAAGTGATAATTGTCTACTTACACTATTAATGGCTCCGAAAAGGACAAAGTTGACAAAATTACATTTCAAACGAGTAAAATTACACTAATGTTTGTGTAAGTCTAGCGAAATTGTTCGAATTGCCCACCCTGTACCATTTGGCATTGTCCTAAGCGTGTGTAAACGCCGTCTACACTTCGTTCAAGCATTCCCGGGTCGATTTGATTTATTTCAAAACGAATACGGTTTTTAAGTTCTTCCAAATCACCTGGTCTGTTTGTGTACACACGCGATTTCAAATAGCCCCACAAAAAAA